TCCAGTTGTGAGTCTCTGTGTTAGATCTCATCTCCTTTAAGGAGGGGCTTCTCTGACGATAGTATCTGAGGCCCTGATTCTCTATCAGGTGTGTAATAAGCTATTCTTGATTGTTCATTTCCCGTCTTTATCCTGTGGTTATTTCAACAAACCACATTGGTTTTCTAGCCAGTTCCTCTTTAAGATCTGCAGTCGCTACATCCAAACTAGTGTACTTCCCTTGTCTGTGTGGCCAGCTTCCTGACAGATCTCCCTGCTCTTGCCCTAGCCTACTTGCAGTCCGCTGGTCACAGAACAGCTAGAAACATCTTATCATGTCTTTCTCTTCTGTGAAGTAGAGGATTAGTAAACATTTCTTGCCTGACTTAGTCAAGTATTGGGGCAGTGGTTCAGGCTATGCCAGACTTAGGCAGAGAAATTCCACATTATAAGAAAACCTTAATGCATTGTGAATAATCTGTGCTTGCCTTGAACACCCAAGGATATTGGTGTCCTTTATCCACCGGCCCACAATGAGTATAGCATACCATTGTCAGCCAGTCAAAGATAGTCCTTGGTTATTTAGGGCCCAAACAGCTGCCCAGGTTTAATTAATATTCCACAATCATATCTGGACAGGAGCCAATTTCAGAGACAGGTGTCTAAGTAACAGGAAGATCTCTGACTTTCCTTCACACATCACCTGTTATGGTCCACTGGGATCCACTCGAAGTTTGCTGGCTACTTGAACTGTGATTTCACATGACTCATTCTCTTGGAGGTTCCTGTGTAAATCTTGCAAGTCCTACTTTATGCAGCCAGTCTTCGTACAAGGAGATCCTTGATTTGGCACAGTGTAGTCTTAAGGTTGTGAAGCAGTGGCCATGTGTTGCTGATGAACGGTGAGGCCTTCAGAAAGCACCACACTGATTGCTCATTTAAGGGGATCATCAAGCAATGAGAATGAGGATTCGGGGGGGGAGGGGGGAGCTTACTCTTTGATCCACCAGGAGTTTAAAATGGCAGTGGTCATTAATTCTTGGATTCCCTCTGTCCTTAAAGAAAACTGAGGCATCGGAAACTGTCATTTTGTGAACAGATAGCTATTAAAAGCACATTAATAATCTATAGTGGGTAAAGCATATGCCTTTTAAAAAGATTTGCAGCTTGCTTCTCTGTGGCGAAGACACAGGACTTCTCCATCCTAATTACAAAGCAATCAAACAATTTAATTAATCTGGAGATCACTTTCTTCACAATAACTGCCTCCAAAATGAGGCACCCCGTGTAGTGCCGTTAGGTAAAGCATGGCTCATACACTGCTTGTGTCTTAGCTGTGCCTCTGCCTTATGGGGATCATGGTGTTAATTACCTACCCAAGGCCTGACCACTGCTGAGGCTTACTCCATCAGGTTGGAGCATCAGCAGTGATGCTGGCAGTCCATAAAGTGTCCGAGCTCTCAAATATCCAAGAGCCAGCAAATCCCAGGAGCAGCAGGATGTGAGTTACAAGCAAGTGCTGCACATATGGGCAGAGAATTAACTGGCACCAGTTTCTACTCGAGAGTCTCTCAGGTATTGCTTTGCAGATGGGTGGATGAATTCAGAGAGCAGCGTGCAAGGAGTGAAGGTCATGTGTAGGACTCCAGTTTCAATCCGTCTCACTCTCTCTTCTCAAGAAGTGTCATTCATGCGTTCAACAGAGAAGACTTCATAGAGCATAAATGGCATGAACCCATCTACCCGAAATTCAGAACAGTTAGGACACTGTATAACAAAACACTATTGCTGAAGCCCAAGAGACCAAAAAGTAGGGCATTTTTTTTTTTGTTTAAAATAAAAATAAAACCTTCCACAATTGACCTCTCTAACTCTATGTGCTAATCTTACCATTTCTCCCCAAGGAAAATTGAATTTTGTTCAATGCATAACATAATCATCTATACAATGCAAATTTACCCTTTCCTGTGTTAATACCAGAGTCCCACCTACCCCTCAAGATTCTCTATCAGTGGATCATTCTGCCATGTTGTCCCTCTAGTTTACCCATGTTGCCAACACCAGACACACTCTGTGTTCTCTTCTTTCCATGGCTTGGTTCTAATGTGTCACCAACCACTTCTGGTTTACTGCAGAAGTTCTGTCTCTTGCCCTTGCGTGTGCTGGTTCATCTCCATCTCCTTTGGTGCACTCAAGCATCTCAAAAGCCTCCCACTACCTGGTACCAATGAATATAGTTCATGGGTCATTGGTTGTACCACTCTGAATTTGCTATAGCTAGAGAGCTTATCTCTGAAACTTCTTTAATGTTTACAGCGTTTCCGTCTCAGTTGTTTCTGATTGCCCAAAGTCCCCTTCCACCATCTTACTTGAAGCTTGCTGAACTGTCCTGCCATTGAGTCCCTGTCCTTCTGATATCTTGCTATGCTTTAGGGAACTTTAGTGATAATATAGTTATATCAACAACACACAACACCATCCCAATTCTTTCTACATGCCCCACTCGTGTTTTTTTTTCCAGCAAACATTGCCAGTATTGTCAAAACATGGATAGACTGTGTATAGCCAGGGTCCAAAAACATTACACCACTTACTGATGTTATTATCATCATGGTTTATTGAAGTTTGCTCTATGACATTCTTGTTAACATCCGGCAGAAGAGTCTAGTTCTTAAACAACGCACAGCTTTGTGAATGCCGTATACATTTCAGTTCCCCCTTTTGGCCTACATTTAAAAGAATAGATCTGCAGAGTTGTTAAGATACACAGATGGCCATATAGACTTCATGCTGAAGGTAAAAGAATCCAGGGTTTGGTTTTATGGCAGGGAAAGACCAAGTGAAGGGGGAAAATGAAGTTTCAATCATACCTAGACAGGTAGCCCAGGGTATGAAGCTAAGTACAGGAATGGTTAATAGAAGCTTTGGTAATGGCAGCTTTTATTCTTTGAAGGGCAGAATTAAATCAGTCTTCTTTGTCTCTGGCTGTCTGTCCTGAAGCTTGAAGATCATCATGTGCTATGAAGTGTTTTATAAAATGGCACTGGCTTCCTAAGGGGCCACCATTTTATGTTCATCCCTCGGATCTCCTTTCTCCCCAGTTTTGGTATTTAATGAGTTCTTTGTTTCTACTCACCACATGAACCCCCCGGCTTTAGTGTTCTCTGTACAGAGAAGACAGGCTAGGGATCGGGCCAGATTCCCTTGGTGTTATTTTATTCTTGTGAATGAGGCAGAAAGGACTGTTGTCAGAGTGTCTTGGCTTAAAAGAAAGCAGCTGCTTTTGTTAACAACTAATAATTTACTGGTAGTTTGCTCTCTGTGGTGTACGAACAACATGAATATATTCCCAAACTTAAAGCAACAACAAAAAACCCAACCTCTATACAGTGATGCCAAGCATCAGATTCTCCCCCTTAGGAAGCAAGGGCTTTTAGCCATCTTGACATTATTGAGCTCTTTTACAGAATGCAGAGGGTGACACACAAGCTAAATTAGGAGTGGGAGAATGAATGCTGTTGAGAGAAATCAAAATAAGTTAATTTGCTGTGTAGATAAACAGACAGAATGAATCCTGGATTACTGGACGGCAAAAGCAAAATCCATTCCTCCAGGGGCCCCGGGAACAGCAGATGCAAAGACATGATAAATTTCACTGTGGCAGGGGGACCGCTCCTTGCCTGGCTCTCTATAAAGAAACGGTTTCTCAGCGCTTCCCCGTTGAATGGCTTTGATTGTGCTGTCATAAAGTTAATAGCATCTGTTGAAGACAACACTATAAAATTTGCAACCTTAAGTTAATTGAAAAATTTCAGTGGAGATGTAGCCAGTGTAAGAAGTCCTCAAGGTAACACTAAACTTACCCTCCTTTAGGTGTTAGGCTGTTCTTTTTTAGCACACTAATAACAAATCGTTTTTAAGCTAGGGAGGACTCAGTATTCCTTACAGCTGGCTACAGTGGTCAGTCAGTCTCACTGAAGAGCCAGTGATGTGGCAGTGACCTTGCTATTGGGAATGAAAGGCATCTCTCCATCTATCTCTCTCCACTCCTCAAGAAACTATAGAGCTACTTTGCAGCCTTTTTTCACCTCCTTCCTGAAACCAGCTCCATTCCCAAGTGATCCTCCCACAATGCTGTGCATCTTATTAAATATGCAAGGGAAGCAGCATGGTCTGGAGTGTCCTGAACTTGCCCTCGCCAGCTGCCTGCCAAGCTTTGTCAATGATCAGCAGCAGGTTGAGCAGGCTAATGGAGAAAGTAACAAGCCCCCAGGGAGCTGCCCTCCTTCCGGTGTGTAGTCAGTGCTCCTTCTCTGCCTGTTGAGGACTTGAGGAGAGCCGAGTGCTGCCATCTCCCTGTGGCCACGGCTTTGAGAGTCTGCCTGGCCAGTCACATTCCAGCTGCTTAGAGGCACAGGGCTTGCTGAAGACAGTGTTGGTAAGGGGTAATCCTGCCAGGTTCTTGCAGCAATGCTAAGATAGAGCCTGAGACATTTTAGAAATAGAACCAGATGGCTGGATTCTCCTTCGTATTTTATGACTGGTTTTGACACAACTCTCTTTTAAATGTATATCTTAGAATCCAAGCCTTCACTTTCAAGTCTTTTTTGTTTCATCCCAAGGCTGCCTGCCACAAAATAAAAAGTACCGCCACTGGCAGCCTGAGCTTACCAGCTACCTAAATGTTAGCTTCTAAAGATATAATACAAAACATGTATGTACTCATTATTCCACAGACCAAAATGCTTAGGTTATAGTGCTTAATATATATATTCCTGTGTTTGGCCCACTGGGAAAGCTGTGCTGGAACTCAGTATCCTCCCACCCTCCAATTCCTACCCCACCCCACCCCCACCTCTCCTGCATCCCAGATCCCTGCTCGAGGCAAAGCTACAACATTATTAGAGGAAATGATATTTTGCAGAACTGTAAAGAAACTGATTACTGGAAAGAAGATTCTGGATATGGATAGTGGTACAAAAACAAAATTAGGTGGTTCATTTCTCTTTTTCTCTCCACAGGAAATAGCCCTCAAGACAGTCCAAGGAATTTCTCCCCCAGTGCCTCAGCCCATTTCTCATTTGCGAGGAGGTAAGGACTGCATATGAGTGGGGCATAAAGTGGTCCCTCCCTCAGGGTATCTCTGCACTCTCTCTCCTGTCCTCCTCCTACCTTCTCTTTTGGGGTTCTGTCTTGTGAGAGCCTGTTCATTACCACATAAAGCCTTCTGCAACCAAAGGACCTTGTCACATTGAACACGCTGGCTTTCACCATTTTCATGATGACTTCTGCCTTGTCTTAGAGTTGGAGGGTCCCCTTGGTCCTTTGCTAAATGAGACCCTCAGTGATGGCAGGGAGGTCCTTCTCTCTCTGTTTTCTCCCATCTTTAGAACATGCATGAACCAACCTGAACAGATTTTTACTGATTTTTTTTGAGGTGTTGTTATGCAGGCTCTATTTATCTATGTCCTGGTACAAGCTTTTGTTGTTATCGTATGTTGTCCTTTTTGTAAAAATGAGACTCTGGGTTACAAGGTGTGCACTTGGAAGCAGTTGAATGACAGATCTGAGATAAAGCAGCTCTGGTTTTTCTAGACAGGGTTTCTCTGTGTAGCCCTGGCTGTCCTGGAACTCAGGCTGTAAAGCAGGCTGGCCTCGAACTCAGAGATCCACCTGTCTCTGCCTCTAAACCCTGGGATTAAAGGCGTGCACCAATGTATCTGGAGTTCTTTTCTACTACAGTTGTACTTAGAATTAGGCAGCAAAGGCTTAGGAGCTATGCCTCTGCTCCTGGAGAACTGAGTCAAGAGGAAGTGTCTGTACTTAAGACCCTTAACACCCAAGCTTTCCCAGGCTGCCCCCCCCCACCCATATAGCCTCAGTCCTTTCTTCTGGATTCTGAATCAGTATGTTTTTCTCAAACATCCTGTGCCCCTCTCATGTATGTGTCTTGCTTCTTCCACCCAGGAGAGACAGAATGCAAAACGCCACTTCAGGTCTGCAAATATTCAGAATAAATTTAGTTTATGGTCTGGATGTCCTATTTATTTGTAAGAATTTCTCAGAGACTTAGTTATACCCTAAAGTGAATTTGGATAGCATTTCCTAAACCAGATAGATAGGTCTCAGGAAACATGCCTTTGTTCCTCTACACATCACTAATGAGCACACTTGTCAGCGTGTGATACATTTTATGTTCTGAAATCCTAAGAAAAGGAGTTTCAGAGCTCTGTATTGTAATTAAGATTCCAGCAGCGTTTCCAGAACCCTGTATGATTAAGAATCTAAGTCCCAATCCAAGAATGTTTGTTCTCTTGTGACCGAAGTCATTTCCCATCATGCTCAAGCCTCTGAATCCCACGTTGGGTGAGGAACGACTGGATAGCATCTCAAAGACCTTGCAGTGCCCCACACCTGGATCTTCTCTGAGATTCGACTTTTTTTTTTTTAATTAAGATTTTCTTTTAACTATTATACTATAAAAGAGATGCAAAAGCTAACTGGCCCTAGAAAGTGTGTCTGCCCAGTGACTGTTAATTCATGACAGCTCACTATTCCAAGTAGGGAGGAAAAACATTGAAAGTCAATAAACAAAGTGTCCTCTGTAGTCTAAAACGGAGGGTGGGTGCGTTCAATTACCCAGAGTGATAACTAAGTGCAAATCTCATTGCAGTGTGTATTACAACATGACAGAAGCCACAGTCCCATAATCCTGCCAGATTTATAAAAATGAAGAGCATCTAATAATTAAGTGGGAGACTGAAGGACAGATGAATCTGGCTTCTGGGCTGTGGGAAAAAATCACAACCTCCCAAGCATGTTAATTTTTGACAAATAAACCATAAACCGTGACAGGGGATTATCACTGGAGACCTCCAGTTCATGTTGCATGAGCTACCAGCTGGGACTCCTTCCACACTCTTCAAAATCCATTAATTTTGATTAGAACATGAGTGATTTGTGTTAAACTTTTCTCCAGGTAAATAGAACCTTGGGTTCATTGTGAGAATTCAAACCGGTGCTTTCTACCCAACATCTGCCAACATCTTCCGTTTTAGAGATGGTCTTCTCTCGGGAGACATAGACCATTGGCCTGGGGTCTCCACTGCCTCTGGTTGGCTATGTGTCACTGAGCCTTTAAGAAGTAATTTGAGGCTCTTAACATTTCATTATTTTATAATGTAGCCCAATAGAGAAAGTGTGGCTCTGTCTTTGAAATCACTTTGGGGTGAAGACACAAAGGTTAGGCTTATTAATCTTCTCTGACCTTCCTTGTTCAATATTCTCCCTGTGACACCCCTAGTAATGTAATAGTCCAGTTACAGACTGTAAAGGATGATGATACACACTGTATTGTAAAATACAGATCTATGAGTAAACCTACTGGGGCAGTTTTTAACCTACTGACTTTACGAAAAGAAAAATAATCATCATAATAATGCATGTTGAGACAAGGAAACATTTCAAATTGTTAATTCTTAACATATGTGAAAGCTAATCTGAAAAGCCGAGATCCAAAATATCCCAAAATTTGAAACCCTTATACTTAAATTTTATTGTCTGTTTCTCTCTGCATGTATACATATGCATGTGTGTGTTCGTACGTGTGTTCGCACGTGTGCCACAGGATGTGTGGCTTCTAGGGATCATACTTAGGTATTCAGGTTTGCACGGCAAGTGCTTTTATTTATGAGCCATCTCAGTGGTCTCCAAACGTACTGAAACTTACTGAGAACTATTGAAATGTTCCGAGCAACAATGGGATACTTAGAAACATTTCAAATTTACGATTAAAGACATTTAGTAGGTGGGGAAATACCTTCTTAAAGCAAATCAAAAATTCTAAACCTAAAATGTTTCTGGTCCAAAGACCTTTGGATGAAAGATCCTCAGTCCATACAGTCTCAAGCCTTCAGGGCTGTGGATCATTTAACACTTTTATCTGATGGTAAGATGGAGGTGATGATGTCATTACCTTTGCCAGAAGCTGGGGCCCCGAGACACTATAAATTGCTGTTCTTTCATTGGCAATCTAGTGCCATTTAGTGCCAGCAACATCTCCTGGTTGCCTAGTTGTTATTTGCCTAGATAATCCTCAGAACATATTTCCATAAGTAAATTTCTAGAAAAAGTTTGCCCTTCTGACTTTAAGTCTTCAGTCCCTTTAATACCAGTTGACTAGGGTAACCTCCTGTTAGTCTGATAATTCTTTCAGGAGTAGATTTTACTTGGTGATTGGTACAGATGAATTTGACCCAACAGTGTATATAGTATATCACCCATACTTACTATATACTATAATTACTGAACATATTTACCTGCTTTCTCTTCATGTAATTAAAATGGTCAGGCTAGAATTAGAGCATTCACCCTTTATTGTATACTACACGAATCTAAATGTTTTGTGAGTTGTCCCCCAACCCCCATTCTCTGTGTCCTACATTCTCATCAGCTGTTTTTCCTCTCCTCTTTGATTTGATGTAACGTTGAAATTTCCACTCACAAAGAAAAGATTCTTCTCAGAAGAGCCTTGTTGCTTTGGGAAGATGAGGATGTTGTCTTTGGATGTTGCTTTCTTGGTAGCTACTAAACAGAAAAGACAGCATTGTTAGTCGGCTCCAGATTGTGCCTGTGTGATGGCTTCCGTGGAAAGGGGGCACTTTCTCCATTCAGTACTGCATATAGCATATATAGTAACTTTTTGATGTGCAGTTGTCATGGCAATGGAAATGCAATGGTCCTTTTGCTCCATTTGAGTAAACAGACACAGGCAACTTAGGGAACTTTATGAGACATGAATTATTTCTGGTGGATGGCTGTACTAAGAACTGAGCACATTCTTGTTTAAACATCTTTCCAGTTGTGTGTTTTCTGGACTAAGCAAATGTAATTTATGCTTCAGAACTAATAAGAATATATCTCCTCTTGGAACTGCTCATCCATCTGAAATACGTCCGTGGATACCTGAGGGAAAATGGAATTAACAAATCACAAAACAAAATCATGCTGGGGAAATGTGTCCCTCACTCTTTCCGGAGTCTAATTTCTGATAATTGCTATTAAATGAACTGAACAGTCCTTTTAATAATCATATCCTGTCTTTGCTAAATTAAAAATGGTTAAAATATAAAATTGAGGCATTGCTTCTAAATATAAGATCTGCCTGTGTCCATTAAACTGGTGGTTGTACCTTTTATATGCATACTGTAATTATTTTCCTCAGAATTTTCAACATTTTTTCATCTATATAAAAATGTTCTTAAACAAATACATGATTTAATCACCTCCAATTACTTTTCTCTGGTGTAGTATTTATAAATAAACATCTCATTTTGCTTCTTCTTTTTCTTTTCTTTTTCTTTTTTTAAAAATACATGATTTCAATTGTACTCCAATCATGGCCACAGAAATGACAGGTAAATTTCACTAAAATCTTAGCATTGTAGTCACTCTGTGATGTGTCTGCTTGGCCTCCATCTTGTGTCTGTGGACCATTTTGCGTTCATTGGAGGTGACACCACCATAGCCTAGAAGACCCACCTTTGACTATCAGGCTACCATGTCAGTTTCCCACATGAGCATCAAATTGTGGTTTCTCAAACTCAAGTCTGATGCAGTCGAATTCCCTGATTTCAGCTTCCGGTGAATGTGTCTTTGTTAGGCTTCCTACATTGTTGTCTTTCCCTTGGTAAATGAACAAAATTGTGAATTACAGAACATCTCCACATGATCCTGTCTCTAAGACTGTAGTGCTGTTTTTTAATAACACGTTTTAACTGTTTTGCCCTTTGGAAAATTTGCATGTCTTTGTTTTTCCTGTCAGTTTGTGCTACAGTATGATCTTATTTGAAATTTTGAATAAAGCTCTTGAATAACAGAAATCCCTGAAAATTTGCTCTGTGGCAGCCCCTTGTCCTACCAGCAACATCGCCACTAATAACTACTCCACAGTTCACTTAGAGCCCGGTACTGGCCCTGACTTATCCGACAGTCCAACTCCGTTTAGTCACCATTCAAGGACAAAAGCCATTCTCTTTAAGGACCCTGGCTACCTGGACTCTGGGACTGAAGCAGGCAACTTCACTCTTCGTGTTTGTTGCCATTATGAGTAGAGAAGTTTCCCTCCAGCCTCTAGGGTGACTGGGTAGAGGTTGCTGCATGCTCACAGCCTCTGCAGGTGACATTTGTGCCAACGTTGTATGAAGCCAGGTCATGTTAGAAAGCAATAACTCTCCAAAGCCCGAGCTTCAAGCTTTCTGACCATAGTTATTCACTGCTTTAGAATGTGACGTAACCAGGAGCCCGGTGCTCCCACCACCTCTGCTTACAATAAGGAAAACTACACCCTTAGAAATCTGAGGTGGAAAGCCTATTAAGGCCCTGCCCCTGCCCCAGGGTCTTGCACCTTGATGGAGTCTGGGTCCACGTTGAGATCATTGGCCAGTTGTCGGTTTCCACACAGAATGTGTTTCCTCTCCTCTTTCTGCTTGCACTGCTTTGAATCTGCTGAGTCTGACCATTGTAATTATCCTGGTATTCATTTTGTCAAAGTGTATTAGTGAGAGATCAATACTATGGATCAACCCATTCACTTTCTACTTGTTTGGCTGTATTGATTCCTATTAAATAAAAGGCAACCTGCTGTATAATGTTTGTTTACCCTAACCCTGGCCAAGCATTCCCACATCCTCATAGACTATGTTTATGTCATTTGTTTGATTAAAGATACCCTAATTCCCTGAGGGTTCTCTGGGGTTCCCTGGTATCAGCAGTTGTACACTTGGCCTAACCGAGCTCCCTTTGTCCACAGAACGGACGGGCGCCGCTGGTCTCTGGCTTCTCTCCCCTCCTCAGGCTATGGGACAAATACACCAAGCTCCACCGTCTCTGTAAGTGCTTGATTTTTGTTCTCATCTTGAAACCACAGAACTAATCTATACTCTGTGTTTTTCTCTGGGTGTATCCTAGTGGGAAGGAAAAGGCAAATTCCACATGTCTATCTCACCGTGTAAGATATATGCCAAACGACAGCCTAACAAATGTAGAAACGAACGGTAGACTGTTTATGGAAGCTTCCAAACTACAGGGCATAAAAGTCTACGGCCCAGGCTGACAAGTCTGGAGAATTCGAGCCTTCATTTTAATACCATTTGGTGTAGTTTGGGGGAAACAACACAATCTGCATTCGATATTGACGTTCCATATCAGATGCATGCGTGAAGACACCATTGAACTTTGATGGACTCGATCTTCTCTTGTGTGTGGCTGAGATAGACGCTAGTTTTGTTTTCTCTTTCCTTCAAAGGATGCCTCCCACACACAAAGCCATAAAGTTGTCTCTACCCTGACAACTTAAAAAAACAAACAACAACAACAATGGAACTTAGTAAATCTGTGGAAAGGTACAGAGAGATAGGAGATTCTTGCCCCAAATGATAACATTTCAACCCCAGGCCTACCAGTTACTGGATACCATTCAGTAGATTAGATACAAGCATACCTGGTTTGAGTTAGAGGAGTTTCTGTAACCACAGGGCTCTGACAACCAGGTGGTGGTTTAGAAAGGCCCAGACAGTCACACAGTATTCAATAAATGCTTAGTGAGGTGGTCTGGATCTCCCGTATCCAGCACCCCAAACTATGGACCTGTGACCATAGAGCCTTTTCTGATTCAGTTCCCTCCTCATTTTGTCAAAATTCACAGTTTATTGTTTAGGACTGTCCACCACACAGCATTGTGCTAAGTGTGCAGCCACTGATTAATATTCAAACTTCTAAGAAACTAAAACTTGTTAGATGAACTAACTAGCGCCCCTCCTCCTTACGCTTGTGTTTCCAGAAGCGTGATTGAAATGTGGGTTTTCTGGGGCACCTCTAAAACCAAATTGCTAGCATCTGTTGGGCTTGCCTTACATCTTCTTAGGGTAGTGTGTGCGGAAAGGTCCTCTAGTTTCCTGTCTCTTTTCTGATTTGTTGTGCTGTGAGAGTTTTCTGTCCATTTGGATCTCTTCCCCTACCTCCCCACCCCCACCCCCACCCCTCACCACATACCCCTAACCTCATGGGTGTTAGCAGTAGATAAAATGGTTACTGAGTACCACTGAGATTTTACTTGACTATTATGGCAGCTGCCATCACTGGTGATTTCAGATGTGAAAATGTAGGACCATACATTTTCAAAATGTGTGACGAAGCGGATCCCACACAGAATAATTGAAAATGTTTTTAAGTGCTGCCTCTCCCTAGACCCTGAGGTCCCTTTAATTAAAGCCAAGCCACAAGTAAACAAACAGTACTGATTCTTGGCTCTGTGATTTCCTTACCCACACTCCTCCCCAGACTAAAAGCTCAAATCCATGGGTTTTGGCTGCAGCGCCCTTGTTCAGCGTTAATGACAGTTCAGGTGACAAATCTCTCCTCTTCATGAAAAGCAGGAGAGTACAAGATGCACCTTCTCTTTCGAATAATCACACATCATTTTATTAAAGTGGGTGTATAAAGGGTGAGAACGTTGAATCTAAACGTACCCCATTGGGTCTAAATAATTTTTTAAATTATGTTTTTGTAATATCATAAAATAAACACTAGTCTATCTCCTTGAAGTAGGTGGCCTCGTTGCATGCTGGTGACACATTCTGTGGCACTGCTGCTGTTCTTACTCCCAATTTTTTTAGGTCTGAAACCTAAAGCACAGAAAATTATTTGAGAGACTGTTTATCCCTTTCTTTTATCCATATGAATACTGCAAATGGTCTAGTCCCTAATGCTGTGGTTCATTTTAAGGCCATGTGAGTGGCATTTCTTTTAGCTTTGTGAGTGATTTACCTGAAGGCTAATGTCTCTATAAAGTTCATATGTCTAAAACAAGAAACCTGAGACCATTTTAGACACATACACACATACATACACATACATACATACACACACACACACACACTAACACAAACACATACATACACACACTCACACATATGCACACACAAATGGCAGTTTCTAATAGCCTTTCTCTTAAACATTTATGTATTGATTGAGGTGGTAGGCAGGTATACATCTGAAATTCTCATTTCTTCCCTCAAAATGAAATTTTAGTTTCCATAATTTCTGGTTTTGCCAAAAGCAAGAACTTTTAGGGTCTGGACTGTGACCACTGTTGCAAGGGTTGGCTGGCTTTCTTTCTTCACTCTTTTATACAATGGACAAGGGAAAGCTACATAGCTCCAGTTGAGGTTTCTGTCCTTCAAATATCAGGCACAGTTATGTCAGCGGCAACTCAGAGTGTCTGCTTTCCTATTCCTAATCTGAATTGCTCTTAGAACCTCATTAATTAGTAGTCCTTTAGCCAATCAAAAATTTACTTTAAAAAAAGGGAAAAGAATGTAGGTTATATACAGGAAAAAACTAGAAGTGTTTTCAAAACACAATTTAAAAGTTCACAGATAATTATGTTGTCAGCTGAACTTCAGACCTGTTCATGTTGAAATGTAAATGTTTTCATATCTTTGGGCCATTTTACAGACACTTCAATAATGCCAAGTGTTAAAAATGTTATGTTCCAAAATTGGAAAGACTTTGTCATACACAGTTAGTTTGTTCTCCCAGAACATTTAGTATTGTCAGTTATTTAAGTGTAAGAGTTTTGTAGTGAAAATTAATTTGTGGAACTTCTACAAGAAGATACTATGCACATCATAATCTTTAATTTTGAAATAAGCAATATGGAATTGCAGTAGGGAGATATTCTCCCAAATATTTCTCACCAGATAAATTATTTTCCGCTGTGGGAAAGAGTGGAAAAAGACTATAAATACCCATAAATATGACATATGTCTGTTAAATCATATTACCTTTAATAATAGCAAGCAGGAATTTATGCATACATATGAGGACTGTCCTTTTTAAATTAGTCGTCTTGAGAGACAAGCTCTTTATCTGAGTGGTGCTGTGATGTAGAAGATGGATTTGGTGTCTAATTGCTTGGGGAAGCAGCAGCAGCTTTTGACGTAAATCTTCACTCTTTGAGAGTGGATCTGATTTATGATGTAGTCAAAAGTCATATGCAAACTAGTTAAGTTATGGTCATCACCAGCCCCACACTTGGAGAAAAAGGAAGTCATGAGAGTCAGTATATTGGAGAACACCCATATTCAGTCTTGAAAGTCTTCTAAAAGGAGGCTTTGCTCAGCAGAGGTATCTTTTCTATAAGCACATGAGAACCAGGTGTGGCGCTGCACATTTATACTCCAGCTGCTTTGGAGGCTGAGGCAGGAGGGTCACTAGGAAGCTAGCCCAGGCAACATAGCAAAAGACTGTCTGAAATACACATGGAGACGTGATGCTGTGGGGATGGATGGCAGGCACTTGGTCCTGATGATCCCATTAGTATTCTGGAACTTGATGCTCATTTCCAATGAAACTGAACTTAAACTTCCCTGCTGTCCAACATGCTGTGCTTTGAGGGCGTGTTTTCAGTTGGCCGCTGGCTGCTTTTCCATTCGTTTCCAGGTGCCCACTGCTTATCCTAGGGTCCTTTGCGATCCGCTCATTTCCATTCACACCTTGCTTATTTTCTCCCTAAGCTGAGGAGGCATCTCCCTATAGATTCTTCAAGCCTCCTTGTTTCTCTGGTGTCAAGACGACAGCACTCCTTCCACCACTCAGCAGCACTCAGTCCGTAACATTCCCAAATCTTAAATATAGGTAAATTTCTGACACTATTCTCCAGTAATGCATATGCTGTAATCACAAAAATTACTTTAGGTTCAGTTGAGGTCAACAGTTTGCTACATGGCCACAGTCATTTTGGAAACTAGAGTTTATTATGTCTTATAAGCAAAACATTAAATATGCCACAGGAGCCCTCCTCTGAGCTTTGTGGTATTAGTCCCAAGCAAGTAGCATCCTTAAAGGGTCATGATGCATTTGGAACCCGGGCCTGCTGCATTTGTAAATTAACTTTCAATTTTAGAAAGACAGTATGCCCTGTACATGATAGCCCATCAGTCACAGAACCAGCAAATCATAATCCAGGATATTAATATTTCCCCAGCAACCTGAATCAACATTCACACTAAGTAGATTGACTATTTACATAATTCCCTCTCAGATCAGTTGAAACTTTGCTACTCAAAATGATTGCTGTGAACAAAGTGCATACGTGGGTTTGCAGACAGAAATGTGGGTAGAGATTTACCAGTGAAGGTACAGGTAAGGTTGAGAGGTGTGTGTGTGTGTGTGTGTGTGTGTGTGTGTGTGTGTGTACACATGCATGCATGTGCTCGTGTACATGTATGCGTGTTTTAGGTTTCGCTTTCCCTGTGGTAGGGATCGGACCCGGGCCCTGGTGCACGTGAAGCAAGCGTCTCCCACTGAGCCACGCCCTCAGCCCTCCTTGTAAATCTCACCTGTTTTCCTATCTGTTAATTTCCTTATCTTTGCTGTTACTACCCCGATGCTTCTCTCCTGCCTGATTTTTATGATTCTTTTCCAGACTTTCTGAATTGATTTAGTTCATGTGTTTTATTTCCTTTTTTCATAGTGGAAGTGTTTTTAAGAGTGCCTATTTACCCTGAATAAAGCTTTGCTTTATCTCATAATTCCTTCTTGTGTTCTCATTTTTATGGTTTATAAAATAATCTCATTACATTATAAAAATCCCTGTCTATCTTACTGTGTACTTAGCAAGGCGTTTTATAATTTCAAGGTGTAGGGATAGTTTCAGCTCTGGTCATTAATTCCCAGTATTACTGAACTGTAATACTTTACTGTTTATGAAGGGCATTCTCTCGTAAGGACTGGGTTTTTGTTGTTGTTTGTTTATTTGTTTTGCTTTTTAATGCAAAACTCTACCTGAGCTGCCATTTTCAAATGAGTAGTATCTTTCAAACACGTACTTATCCTAGCCCCATCTCCGTGCAGTCAAAAATTCTCCCTCTCTTTTATTAGCATTGATTTGCTGAGTTTATCACTCCCTAAACCTTGAAGCCAACAGTTCCTTTGTTGCCCAGTTCCCAAAGTCAAGTTGTTTAAAAGTCACCTGTTATTAGCTGTTCACTTTCTCCATCATGGTCCAGATGTTGAGTGATGATTTTTAAGAAGTAAATTTAGAGCAAGGAACAAAGCCCCAGGACCTCCACTGAAACTGTTCAGTGGAGACGGGACAGTACATTCTTGCTCCGTACCCACCAACCCCCAAATATAGAAAGGAAAGGTCCATACTTCTCTGTCCTTCCTTTGTGCCCCTAGCACACATGGGTGGCGTTTGCATCAAAGAGCAGCGTGCTTTCTTTGAGAAAGGTTATATTACCTTTTTTTAAATGATCTCACAGCATATAATCATGTTTTTTACTTATAAGACAGAGTTTTTTTACTGGGAACAGCAGCAGGAGTCTTCTTCCTTGGGTTTTAACTGTCAATCTCATGGGTTTGGTTTTTAACCCAGAAAGGACTTTGTCTTTGGGAAGCTGCAGTCAAATGGGGGGACATCTGGAAGGCATGATGAACTCTCAGAGAGAAGTCATTTCCTACTTGTAGGTTTTAGTTGCTGTCATGGAACCAGCATATAAGATAGCAGCATTGCCCAAGGTCGACACTCTGATTCATTTCCAGAATTGTTTTCTGGAAGTTGTCTCCTAACTTTTACTCTGCTTTCTTTCAGTCATCCTGTTCCTCCCAGGAGAAGTTGCACCAGTTACCATACCAGCCAACACCAGATGAATTACACTTCTTGTCCAAACACTTCTGCACAACAGAAAGCATCGCCACTGAGAACAGGTGCAGAAACACGCCCATGCGTCCGCGGTCCCGGAGTCTCAGGTGTGTAGACCTGACCTACACTGGCATTTACTGAAATTGTTTCTAACTATATCTGTAATTTGTATGTATGTGCCCACTGATTTGTGGATTGTCACAAATAGAAGTGTGGTATTCCACCTATAAATGACATCGTTAATTACCATAAAGAGGTATTTTAAGTTTTTACAATGCACTAATTGCTACAAAAGCCATAAAGACTATCTATAAAAAAAAAAAAGTCTAGCCATGGAAAAGTTCAAGGTCACCTAATGCTGGTGCAAGAGCACTTCATAGTATCATACAAAGACAGAGAAGATTGTTAAAAGGGGATGAGAATAAATGGAAAGATAGTTTCCCCAGATTCAATATTATAAAACCCATGGTAGTCTTCTTCTTCCATCTTCCCACCTAAGTCTTACTTCCTCCACAATGATGAGCAGGATTCTAGGATTCGTGGCTTCTAAGTTTTGTGGTTGGCGAATGCAGTCCTCTGGGTGCTGAGTAGGGCTGGCTTCTTGCCTGGCTTTGAACTGTAGACCTCACAGTAATGTCTCCAGATGGAAGCATCCCCAACCAGGGGCCTTATCCAGGATATTTATGAAAGAGCTCTGGGGATGCTCATGAAGGGAAAGAAAGGGGGAAGTAGGTCCAGTGAGGAGGAGAAGTCACAGTACAGTATGGGCCCGTTACCCTCAGCCCACCACAGGCTGGGATACATGTAGACCCTCTATTTATACCCTTGCTCCAGCTCGTCAGTCTCTGGACTTTTTTCAGCAGTAGCCTGGGAAGATCCAGTCACCATAGGAAGTTCCTTCCTGCAGCTGAGGCTATCGTTCAGGACAGACGGCCAACTCTAGGCTTCTGCTGATGGCATACCCAGCAGCTGGGCAAGAGGTGTTCTTAGTAGAGGGAATCAGGGCATGTGTCTCCTCGTCACCATGAGAGCCCAGTGGGACAGAATTCGTGTATGTCCATCTGTTAAAGCTTTAGTCTTTAAACCTGAGCTTGCTAGGTATTTAGTTCAACATGGAAGTTTACTAAGAAGGGGTTTCCCTCTGTATGTTTCCTGTTCATAGAGTATCATAAACTAGTACCAAAGGAACCCACACCAGATAATTGTAGGATATGGGAATTTATTTTGAAATCTAGAATAAAAACAAACAACTTTGCCACTTTATCTAGAGTCATTATGATTTATTGAAGATATATTTATTGCTTTTAATTTTTCTTAAGAAGTATCCAGGGTATCTAGCCTAAGCTATATTTATCCAAGAATACAGGTGCCTGCCCCCCTGAAACTGTACAACTGTCTTGCCACAAAAAAATACAGAGTGGCAACCATACACAACAAGTTGTATGCCTCTGTTTTCTTATCGTATGTAATGCCTACCTCAGCATCCCAAATAAATATTTGTTAGAGTAGTAAATGGATTTCACCAGAACACCTGTGCCATGGCAGACTCTCCGCCCTCCCTGGTGGTGCGTGGCAGAGCGCAGGTGTATGATAGAGGTGTGAAATTGCACTGGTAAATACGTCTTGGATGGTGCTGCTATTGGCCACCCCATTTTGTTTGATACTGCAGTTCATTGATTGGTTGCCACAGCTACATAAGTTCATGCCACATGCATGGCATGATCTCACTGCAAGGGCATCTCCTACCTGGGCACTGTGACTGGAATTATTCTGTGCCTTTGCACTCCATGGGCTTGTGCTTTGCATCCTGCCCACTGTGTTTGTGTGGCTTGGGGTATGTGTGTTTATGTGTGTGCTAATGAGTGATTCTGTAATTTATCATCTGAGACACTACTTCTCATATGCGGGTTGCATAGTACTTCCGATGCAACCGACTGTTTATAAATAAAAAGGCTTATTTTCCTTTTACGCTGTGGCAGGTTTAAAAGGGTAATTTGCTTTGCTTGCAGCCCTGGACGTTCCCCCGCCTGCTGTGACCATGAAATAATTATGATGAACCATGTCTACAAAGAAAGGTTCCCAAAGGTAATGGATGGAATTTAAGGTGCCTGGCATCTCAGTGAGTGGGCAACATAGGCTTAGCCTCTGGGAGGTGGTGGTGTTATAAGACGTGAGGACCCAACCCAGTAATGCTTTTCATTGAGCAGCACTGTAGCCTTCCTAGAGAGAGAAAACCACTAAACAAACATGATGCAAACACCTGCTTTGTCTGATGAGTGTGGCTGGGATGGACCCTGCAGCAGGGGCCCTGGCAGGTCCAGGAGGAGGCCCTGCCCTCAAAGACACTGCATCCTTTCCACTCTTTGGACTCAGTTCCTCATCTGCTGTGCAATGTCAAGAGCACATGGTTTTCCTCTCAGAAGCCAGAGCTTGCTGTGGCCTCAAAACTGGCTTCATTTTTAAATCAATGTTTCACTTCCCATCTCCCTTTCTAAACCCCTTCTTGTAGAAGCAGAGATACATTGTCATGTTCCGCAGCTCAACTGGTAAAAGGAATTAGACCTAAGCCAGAGTACAGTGTGTGAAGGCTTGTTGCCAGGCGCCTTGGTTATCAGTAGCAGCTCTCTGAGGCTATCCCCCTCGCCCCCCTGACACTCACCTCAGTCCCATGCCTTCTCCCACACACGGCTCTGCAGGACAGGCCAAAGGCTACCTCTCCACAGAATTGGGACCACCACCTGCTGCCTTTGTTGCTGGAAGCAGGAGGACAAAGGGAGTTCTCAGGGTTCATAAACCAGGAGCAGAGTACTTATTATTTGTAATGAACCTAACATTGATGGGATTGATTAGCTCCAGTTTACCTATTTATCACATGTCGCTTGCCCACCAGGGAAGCAGATATTGACCATGCCTGGTTAATGAGGTTCAATGCTGAGAGGAGAGCGGGGAGAGGGAATCTCCCTGCCCATGTAGCTCTTATAAGCCCGGAATATTGATGAGCCAGTAGGCCATCACAAAGAAGAAAATGAAGGTTGGAAAGGAAACTGTAGATCTGTTTTGTGAGGGACATCCCCTTGGCCATCCACTAAGGGTATAGCGTTTGCAGTATGGGATAAAGTTGCTAATCTGTTTACTCCTGGCACACTGAAACCTCGTCCTGAAAACAAACCCTTGGCTTGCACTGGGGGACTCTGGCATAATGCAAGGTTTGAATAACAACTAAAGAAATACGTCATATGTTTTGATAACCAATTTGTAGGAGCCTATGATCTAATACTACAGCATAGCCCTCCACAAATATGCTTAGAGTTCTTTCAAGAAGTTAACATGGACCAAAGGAAACATCAGATAAGGGGAATTGAAGGCCAAGAATATACCTTTTTAATACTGCAAATGTTTATATATATTACATATGGTAAGTTGGTGCCTCTTACTTCTCCAGCTCCCTATCTATTTAACTATCTATCTATCTATCTATCTATCTATCTATCTGTCTGTCTGTCTGTCTGTCTGTCTGTCTATCTATCTATCTATCTATCGCACTGTTAGCTTGCTTGTGGAAGGCACAGGAATTTTCTCTATTGCTCCGCCCGACATGCACATTCTCCTGTAGTGGCACCGTCCTCCCCAGACAGGTGCACATGTCAGGGATCCAGGAGGTTCACTGATTCAACATTAACACCAACAGCCAACATCTACACTCATTCTCAGTGTACTTCAGTCAGTGGGTTCACACTAACACGTAATTACATGTTTGCACCACGATCATATCATGCAGAAGTGAAGTTTCTTTTGTGTGTGTGTGTGTGTGTGTGTGTGTTAGTGGCGGTAGTGGTGGTGGAAACTGAGTACGGAGCCTCACTCACACTAGCCAAGTGCTCTCTACCAGTGACCTATTCTTCCAGCAAATGAAGTTTCTTTCAAATGCAATTCTCAGAGTTCTATTTAGCAACTCATGATTTGAAACTGAAAGAGTGCCCGCAGTGTGGCTCACGCATGACTCCTTGTGTTACACCTGCATGTGTGTGTGTCTCCTCCCAACAGGCTACGGCTCAGATGGAAGAGCGTCTAAAGGAAATCATCACCAGCTACTCTCCAGACCATGTTCTCCCCTTGGCAGATGGCGTGCTCAGCTTCACTCATCACCAGATCATTGAGCTGGCTCGGGACTGTCTGGATAAATCCCACCAGGGTCTCATCACGTCCAGATACTTTCTTGAATTGCAGCACAAACTGGATAAGTTGCTACAGGAGGTAGGAACAAGGTTTCTGTTCTGCGTGTAGCTCTCTGATTGTTCTGCATTCTCCTTGGGCAGAATACTTTTGTGAAACCAGTTGCTTCTAAGGAGTTCCCTAAAACCTGGAGTTCACCTTCGAGGTGGTGAGGGGGTGGTACCCGCACAGCACGTGTGCAGGCAAACCTCAGGGATTGCTACTTGCTATGAGTTGGTTCTGGTTATTATGTATAGTAATAGAAAATTAATGCAATCACCTTTATAGGAACTTTGGGACTCAACAGTCTGACTCTAGGATAAGTGGATTGTGAAGGATTTTTAAGCAGTGATTTCCCACCCCCTAACTTTACCTATAAAATTATAAATTGCCTGAGTGTATATGTATTATTTGATGGTGCTATCTAATTTTAATATCTAAAAACACTAAATGGGAAACTGTTGGCTTCCACTAGGCTGTGTGTCCTGTTCATTAACCTGCATGCTGTATTGGGTAATAAATTGGAAACTTCTATTTTCCTTAATATAAGTTCTCCTTCTAACAAAATATCCAATTTCCAAAATGACAGATAAACGCAGGACCCTGTCTGCCCAACACCCTCATGCCTAGCTCCTGATAACACCTAGAATGGGCAGGGAATGTGTATGGTGGCATAGAATTAGTGTATGATACAGCTCTTCTGACTGAAATTGATTGGGCGCAGCCTACACAGGAAACCTATTTAACCTATATGTGGGATTTGTAGTATTTCTGTATCTCTTAGGGCATAAATTATATCTCTGTAAATGTAATCATGGTGGGTTATTTTTTTCCCTGAATGAGTGTATAAGTAACCTACTAAACTGAAGGGAAATATTAACATCCTACTTTTTAGAAATCCCTCCTCCTTTCCTTATATGGCTATGTCCTCACAGGATGAGAAGGTACCTCTGGCTGGCAGCTGCCGTTTCTCTTTCCTTACTCATCCAAGCTTCCCAACAGCGTTTTCTCTGTGGTTCCCATTTCTCGTATGTCACTATTAAAGCCGTGTTCCATGGATTGTCTCTGAGGGTGAACACGCAGCTTTTGGGTTTGGTGGTTATTAGTTACCATTTGACATTATCAATTCTGCCATAAACTAAACTGAAAGGGAATGTGTGGGGAACTGGCCGTGTGCTTGAGTATCCCGGCCATGTGCACTTGCTGGCAGAGCTGCTAGGGCTTACACTCTCGTTCTGCTGCGCCCACCACACAACTGATGGTAATGCATGGACCGGCACTAGTCCATAGATCGTGCTTCAGTTGGAACACAGGGATTCTGCAGAGCCACAGGCTTTCTTTTTACACCTACAATGGTATATGACATGTAGAGATTCTCAAATACTTTATCCCATGAATGGCTTCTGGATACCTCGTACGAAGTGTCCTGACCATTGATTCCACATCTAACTTATGAGAGCAGGCCTGTTTTACCACAGTGTCTTCACCGATCTCCTTTCTATCCCTTGACTATATGCCTTTCATCTTGGGTCTCCCTGTCCATTCCTTCTCTGTTTCTTACAAAGATTTCCTTTCTAGCCCATGTTTCCTTGAGTGAGTTTTCTCCAATCTCATTTGTGTTTTCCTGTTCCTCCTCCCACTACTGGCAGTCTTGTCTGTTGTCTTGAATGGCAGTCCTTTTGACTTTGGTTGCTTTCAATGTATATCTCAGACAAACAGCTTGGGATCAAACTTGACATTTGTGTATCCACCTGCCTCTTGTATATCTTTGGACTCAGTAGCCTGCTGTAGCAGTGCTGGTAACCCCAGCATGGCTCAGGTAGACTTAGCATCTGCATAAGCAGATCTGTGAATACCTTTGCCACCATTATCGCCACCCCATATCCCTAGCACTCGCTAGGATTCTGAGTTAGGATCAGCTCTTTCTCTATATCAGGCAACTGGTAGCATCTTCCTGGCTCTTCCTCGAGATTCTCTCCCCTTTCTCTCCTTTTCTGTTGTTACCTGGCTCAGATCCTCCTCTTCGCCAGACTTCTCATTTCCAAACCTAACCCTTCAAATTCATGTTCAGCTCCAAGAATAGCTCAACCCTTTTCATTGATCCATTCAGCTTAAGACAAACGTCACAGCATGGCCTGTGGCTATAGTCCCCGCTTGTTCTGATGCATTCTAACAAGATTTGAGGTAGGAAGGAAGGGAAGCCTCACATTTCTATCAGCGAGCTCTTTGAAGACCACAAGTCCCCTCTTATTTCCTGGTGCCTAGCTCAGTGCTCAGTGTCTGGTATTTATGGATTCCTCGGTGGTTTTGGAAGGGAGAGAAGAAGGAAGAGAATACATTTGGAAGCATATCAAAACACTTGATCCCTGATGATACAATGTCAAGTATCTCTTCTTCTGCCCCTTGTCATCACATCAGCGTTTGTGCAGTGGCACACTTTCAAAAGAAGCAGACTAGGGGGCTCTATAATTGGCTTCTATGACCTCCCTCTTCCTGAACTCCATAGGGCCACCCAAGATACAAACAAGATAGCATTGTAAAGACCAGCTTAGTCTTGTGTTCTGTCCTGTCTTTTCCAGAAGGTAGAATTGATATCCAGAGTTATGGAAATCTACCCTATATTTCTGTTGATGTATGACAGACGTAGCAGATTGTTTTATGGCAATTAAAAATAAATCTTAGCATTTCAGGGATCTTCTGAGTGGGTGGTACGACAGATGAAAAAGGTTAATTTCTAGAGAAATTTCTCTTTGAGCCAGAGAAGCACGTATACCAGTGTCCCCAAAGGTCGTTGTTGGAAGGGAGTAAGAATATCTTCTTGTGCTTCTTCACTGATATAGTTTCTTTCAATCATTTGCAACAGCTCAGTCTCCCTTTAGAGGCACATTGCCAGTAGCTGTTCAGAGCATGGAACAAACCTGTCTGAGAGGAGCAGGCCCCTTCTGGGGAGAGCAGAGCTGTGGGACCATGCTGTGGCTTCTCTGGCATGTACTTGCCTGTTTCCAGATGTGACACTCTGAGCCCAGAAGCCTGTCTCCTCACCATGTTTCCATTGTCAGTCTTTTGCATAACCCAAGGCACAGATCTCCTCATGGTTTGAACAGCTTGATTTAACAGATGCCTTTTAAAGGCCGGGGTCTAGGTCAATTTCAGATGAATGCTTTTATGTCTACATACAGTCTCTTTTTCACTGAAGTGTATTTAGCCAAAGAAAATAAACCACAAAGGAACCTCTAACCTACTCTCAAATCTGGGTCACAATCCTTTTTAATAGTGGCCAACACTTAACAATACAGACTCTGGGACTCTACTAGTCCCTTTGGAGCTTGCTGCAAGATACCAGGAAGCCAGTTCCTTCTCACGCTGTGCTATTCCATTGGTGGTTGTTTTAGTGAAGCCTGTCTTCCTTCACTATTTTGGTAAATAAATATTATTTAAGTTAATAGAACTTGTATGTCTTGGACTAAGACATAGCCAATATGTGTTAAAAGCTGCAACGTGTCATTGTTTTTTGATGGTTTTTGAAATGAAACCTTTCCCATTTGAATTGACTATTTTCTTTTTGGGGAAAAACAGCAAAGCATACCTCAGTGTTTTAGAGATTCTTTACATTTGTGAATTCATAAACAGCAATCATTATCGGAATATCCAACCCAAAGTGTCACCAAGAAGTTAGACACGCTTTGTCTTTCAACCGCTCAAGATTTGTGTTTAGTGATGATGAACCACAAAAAAAGAATATGTCACTTTTCTGAGGATTAACTGTATTTTCTAAAATTTATTTTTCTTGCAAAACAAACATTTGAAAGAAATTTATAGGTAGCTTGTGTTTGATATGTAGACTGTTTTTTTCTAAAGATATAGAACACACCATATTTCTAAGCTAGTTTTCATTTGTATTCTCATGCAAGCTGTGGGTTGCACATTAGCTTAAATGTAGCGGACATGTTACAGTCATTTTTCCTAAGTTTTGTATGCATGCTTTTTTGAAGGTGGGACTTGTCCTTGATGAACACCCCCAAGAATGATCAAACACGTTTCTTAACGTTTCCAAAATTATACCCTGTGGTCCTGGCAACACACTGGTTCTGTTCCTACATCTTTAGGAAATTATATCATAAAACCTTTAAAAATTATGAAGCTGGGTGGGCAGTGGTGGCGCACGCCTTTAATCCCAGCACTTGGGAGGCAGAGGCAGGCGGATTTCTGAGTTCAAGGCCAGCCTGGCCTACAGAATGAGTTCCAGGACAGCTGGAGCTCTACAGAGAAACCCTGTCTCGAAAAACCAAAAAAAAAAAAAAAAAGTTATGAAGCCTTAAAAAATAAACATGCACAGTTCCCATTCAAATTTTATTCTATGCCAGCTCTAATATTGTATTGCCAGATTTATTCGAGAAAATATTAAAAGTGTCAGTGTCTGTGAATAAGTTAAGCTCTGCTGTTGGAATATTTATTATGCTCAGGCAACACGTAAAATAAAATTGAACAAGTACTTAATCCGGTTGAGTTTTGCTAAGTATCTGGGTGTTATTCTTTCAGTGAGTGTTGTTGAGTCTACATACGTAACCGAATAGAAACAATATGTGATTGACATTTGCTATGGCATTATATACATCCCACGTGTGGTAACATAACCAACTTCCAGGCTAATCATACTGTGTGCATGAACTACATTTCACAAGTATGTTAGAGTCCCAGGATAACAAAACAGCCCGTCTATGCCTTAGCCACCAACATCTAAAATGTTCTGTCAGCCAGAGCCAAGCTCGTGTTCAGCTGCCGCTGCTGGCGCCCTGCTCTTAATGGATCATAAATTTCATGTCTCCCTCATTCATGGTTCACGTTAGCAGTCCATATCCTTACATTTGATTTCCAAAAACATAATAAATCAAAGTTTGGTGATTAAACTTTAGCTAATAGAGCTATTTTGTCGATGTCTGATAGTGCCCATTCATGTTAGAGATAATACCTATTAAGAGTGTTTTCTAAGTCGCTTAATTTCTGATTTTTAAAAAATTAGCCAGTTAGCGTGCTTTGCTGATTCTCTTTTCCACTTAGTGGAACCCTCTCTAGCATCTTCCTGCTCATTGCTCTTCACAGGCTCACGATCGCTCTGAAAGTGGAGAACTGGCATTTATTAAGCAGCTAGTCCGAAAGATCCTAATTGTCATTGCCCGTCCCGCTCGGTTATTGGAGTGCTTGGTAAGTCGCCTGTAGATGTGACTACATTATTTAATCATTAAATGTGGAAAGTAGCGGCCATTGGAAGGCTCTGATTTCACTTAACTTCAGCCACGAGTGCTAAACGGAAAGAGTCAGGAGGGACTACAGCATGTGAACGCTTATGATGACATCCATATGTGGCCTGTCTCCTCTGATTTTGAGAAGGAATTCTGGTGTTGGCGCTGTTATTAAGCAGTAGTCATATTGCATTCTGGTCAAATTTGAAGGATGATCATGAAATAATATGCTTGGCCCTATATCAGCATGATAACCTTATGCCTCAGCTAATTTAAAATGCTTCCTATGCCTCATGTTTCTGGAGTTGCTAAGATTCAGACTGAAGGAAGTCAAGGGTATGGTGACCCGTGGCTATAATTACTGGTTTTAAAATGTGCTAGAGATAGGTGCTAGCTGGCAACCCACTTGAAAGCAAGGCATCACCCACATCTATGTTTAGATGTTTAGACACTAGCTACCTTTCATGTTTGTATCTTTTTGGCCAGTGATCATTTTCTCCTTTCAAGATTTTTGGTTTTATCATACTTTGAGAATTCTGTCAAGACTGTAAACAGATTGGATGCTTTGAGCATAATCTTTAAGGGCCTGTGAGTGCAGTATGAAAATTCACTTTCAACTTCTGCTGACGACTAATGTCTGTCCATGTGTAATGGCTTTCAGCATCACTCACGATGTGTATCCGGTCACAGGTGTTTTGATTTTATCCTTCCTTTAATTAACATTCATGGTGTTTTATGAAATGGAAATATTCATAGCTCCATAAATACACAGAGTGCCTGATGAGATACAGAAGGGGAGATGTCAGGGAGCAAAGCAAGCTGGGCATGGTGACACATGCCGCAGTAGTCTCAGTTACTTAGAGGACTGAGGTGGAATGTTCTTCTGAGGTGGAATCTGAGGCTAGTCTAGGCAACACACTGGGACTTCAACTCAAAAACAAACAAACAACGAACAGCAACAGTAAGCCTGTTTTTCAGTGGGCTCCTGGTCTTTAATAGAACATATTACCTTTGAAGTTATATTATAGAGAAACAGAAAGACTGAGAGGAGTCATTTCCTTTGGGTTCCCAGTTGTATATATTCATGGCCTTGGAGTATGAATAGGTTTCAAATATGAAGTGGGAATTCTATACTGTGTAAAGGCATTTGCCTTCTTCCTTCATATATAAATTTCAACCATGTCAGCTTCGTTGTGAGTGAGATTTATGTAATAATATAACCTCAGACCTCTTCTGACTCAGAGAACTATTAATCTGTGCCCGTCATCTGCTAGGAATTTGATCCTGAAGAATTTTATTACCTATTGGAAGCTGCAGAAGGCCATGCCAAAGAAGGCCAGGGAATCAAAACTGACATTCCCAGATACATCATCAGCCAGCTGGGACTCAATAAGGACCCCTTGGAAGGTGAGATCTGGTAGGGTTGTGGTTCACTTGCCCTGTCAGTGGTATCTAGGAGAACTTCATGATCAACCTTTACATTTCCCATGTTGGATATCTCTCTGAAAAGTCCCCTTTTGGGGGAGACCGGGTAGTACTGGAAAGAAATAACCATGGTTGAGTACATAGGAGACAGTGAGCATGCCCACTGTATGTCAGCTAGGGAACAGGGCTGGCCTTGCTGGACTAGAGGCCTCCAGACATGAGAGTATTTGACGTCCACAGGAGCACTTGGGTTTCATTCTCCCTGAGTCCTTCACTTGAAAAGCTCAGTGGGGTGACTCCAGAGAGCACTTTGAATTTTCAAATCATCATTCTTTTAAAACTGACATTTAACTTTAATTTAGGAGGAACGCAGCTAGAGTAGCTGACATTAGGTGGAGTGCAGCATTCGTAGGTACCTTTCCAGCTTACTCGTCCCTAGTAAGCGTGCAAAATAGTCACACATGAAAGAGAGCCAGAGGTAAAGAGGGATGCCTCCGTCAGAGCTTGTAAGAGGGATACATGGTTGATCCCCATGAAGAAAGATATAATTCTATAAAATACAGAGTAAGAAACATCCTGGAGTCATTTCTACTAAATAAATAAATAAATAAAATCTAATATTGGTATCCTCTCCCATCCTTTTCCGGTTATCCTTTTCCAGTTCTCTGTTTGATATTATTGTATACAACACTTAGTCTGCGTACCACTCCCAAAGACTCATAAACTATCATGGACTCCTCGTTCCAAATCATCTCCCTGGGTTCATTACATTGAATTTGCAGACAGTATTTACCCCGTTCAATTGTTTGTGATGGAGGTAAACGTTGGTGCAGAGAGATTTCTTTTTTCCCTGCCCTAAGCTAGGGAGCTGCTCTCTGGCCCGCTCTTTCCCATCCTCCGCGCTTGGTTTGCTCTTGTGGACATCATATCTTTGCTTCTAGTGAAATGATGCATGCATTACCGGGAGATAATGCCAGATAAATTTATACTGTACTGAAAGCAGTACCACAACAGATTCATCACTTACAGAGGCTGGTGACTGCTTCTCTGAAAAGTTCCCTGGGGAGAGATTTTCTCCCATGGCTTCTAAATTACCATCTTTACCTTTTTGAATCATGAGTCTTCAGAAATGGTTTAAATCAATGAAATAAAAAGGGCAGATGTTTAATGGTATTTAGATGAGTTTTAAAAAATCTCTTCAGGCATTACAAAATGATGGCTTAGCTTCCTGCCTCAAAAGCTGACACTTGGTTCCATCCCATTACTACCCACTGCTTACAAATAATATGGATTTCCCAGATAATAGTTATTTAGCTGAAATTCTATTTAAAACAGAACCCTCTTTTAATTTGTTTTTTTTTTCTTATGAAAATAATTGGAGAGGGGAGGCTGTCAAAGCATGTTAGAGTGACTCTTCACGCCGATATAGTTAAGGCTGCACCAGCCTATGGCTTGTCAACCAGTGAGCCCTGTGCAGTTTTCTTCTGGCATTAAATGTCACTATAAACAGAACTTTGACACATGAATAATGTGATGCTGTCTCATATATCTAAATAGATTTAAAACAAAACAAAACAAGACAAAACAGTAGTGATCTTCGACACATTTGAGTTCAATAGTATAAATTTATAACTAAGAATTTATCTTTAGTCCTAAAAGCTTTCTTGATTTATTCTAAGAAAAGTCTCCAATATATTTTTAATACTCAGAATGACTTCTGTAGGTAATTTGATTACAAACTCTTGAGGTACATTTGCTTTGCTTTCTTGTTAACATCAAAATGGACAAACCTATGTCTGTCCTTTGGTACATAGGAGAGAGTTCTAGGCTGGGCTTGTGACCTTGATTGTGCAAATACATAAGCCACTTGTGTCTCCATATTAAATAAGTAAAAATTCATAGACATAATCTTTATGATGGGACAGCACAATAGGTGCGTCTCAAACAGAACTGTCTAGTGCTGTTTTTGCTACTTAGTATCAAATAGTGTCACCGTTCTTGAGAACTCCTCAAACCAAGTGCACTTGACTTTGTCCAAGTCTCTGTATCTAAAGTGCCAGCCACACTATAGGCCTGAATCATTTCTATGACACCAAGAAAGTATTTGCTCTAAGCACAGTTTTATTCTGGAATTTCACCAGTATTTAAAGTGAGGAAGTTAGTGCCACTGCTATTAAAGAATCTGGAATTTATACATTTTCACCTAAAAGCCGGACTCAGTGTGGTTTTGTGTTCTCTAAGTTATAAATAATCACTGCCCCTGAATATGTGTATATATAAGAACACAAACATATAAAATAAAGGCCCAAGGAGGAATTTTAAATGCTACAAAACTGCTGAAAACTGTAACTTTTAGTTAACACATTCAATTTTGAAAAAAAATTGCTTTTGGTGAAAATTCTTTAATATTCCTTATTAAAAAATATCTAGCTGGGTGGTGGTGGTACATGCCTTTAATCCTAGCATTCAGGAGGCCTGTTCTGAAGAGCTAGTTAGTTCTAGAACAGCCAAGGCCACACAAAGAAACCTTGTCTCAAAACAAAGCAAAACAAAAAAACAAAAGTCTTAAAGATAGTATGAAGATGAATATTAAATAAATTAGACTTTCTCATTTACTTAAACAAACTCAACAATGCTCTCCAAACCATGGGCTGAGCAATTAGACACTGGATGTCTTTGTCAGTTTTAACTAGACCACCAGGGACGTACTTAAGCTTGTGTCAAGTTTGTGGCATCCAGCCCAGAATTGACTACTCTGTACAATGTAATTAATAAATAACAATCAACATTTAATGAGCACTTAATTCTTATTAGTGAATATGCTAAGAGCTTCACATGCACTGGCATGTGTAATACTCAGAAAATCTCTAAGACATAATACTGCTTACATCTTTCAGAAGAACCTGAGGTTAAAAGCCTCTCAGCTAAGATGTGATAATCCGAGGATTTTCATCCTCCAGCCCCTGGCTCCTACCACCATTACTGCCTCTGGGAAACTACATATTCTTTGTGTCCCTGCAACTGAGAGTCATTCTCAAATTGTAGCCAATGCGTCTTTGCTTTGTGTCAAGTCTTTGGAAGACTTGCCTCTCTTGGATTATGGACAGAACTGCTAGCTCACCCAGGGCTTTGCAAGCTAGGCTGCATGCATGAGCCAGTGCCCACTGCTCACTGGAGCAGAGGCCCAGTGTCCTGTGTTCCATGTTCCTAGGTCTGGCTAGTCATAAAACTGGAGATCCAGAGAAAGTGTCATTAGTATATGTTCAAAATACCAGCTGCCCATTCCTGCCTTTGAGGCTGTGATATGTGCATATTGGTTTATAGGCTGGATTTTTCTTTCTCTCTTTTTTAAATGATGAGAATTTATTTCTTTTCTGTTTTGGCTTTGTCTTCTTGTATAATTTCAGTATTTCCTTCTTCCCCTTTTGTTTTAAACTTAGAAATGGCTCAGTTGGGGAATTACGACAGTCGGACAGCAGAGACACCAGAGACGGATGAATCAGTGAGTGTGAGTACCACTCCGGATGGAATATGATGCTGGGTTTTTTTGTTTCTGTTTCTTAGCATCTGGAGATTTTTTTTGACTGTGTTAATTACTTTATTCCATAAATGTTTATTGTCTTTCTGTGGGTACGGCACGAGGCACACACATTTAGTGCCTCACTCCTCAGAAAAACAGAAATTTATAAAAACAACATCATAGGCACCAAAATAGCAACTATGAGCATGAATAACATCCATGAAGAAAAGATGACCATGAGCCAGGAGACCATTCCAGAAATAGATTTTTCTAAGTGGACCAGTCCCAGAAGATTTTTCCAAGGGTGTGGCCATGAGTTGAAATAGAAAAAAAAAATGAGGAAGACGTGAAGGGACAGAGGAATGCTCCGAATGTAAGGTGTGTCAGGGCTAAAGGCCAAGAAGACTCTTGAGCCAGAGAGCCTGGGGGAAACTCGTCAGTAGGATCCTGCTCACATCTGTCAGGTGGCCTTCTTTTTAAGGGGAGTGGATAGCAACTGAGTGGGAGAGTGAGTCTGAGAGGCTGGAGTAAACCAGGAGATGACTTGGCCAGAGTCATGGCTTGAAAGTGCATGGGATACAGAGACAGGGTGGCTGGCCACAGGGAAATCAGTTAAGAGGCAGCTTCAGTGGCACTGTTGAATGGTCTTGCTGACGGGTGCCATTTTCCTATGAAGTGAGTATCATTAGAGAAACCAGGGTGAATTCAAGTGAAACATGTTTTGTAGTCTGAGGTTTGAGAACACAGTCTCTAGGTCCAGATTGCCTGGATCTGAAAACTAACTCTATCTCTTACAGAGTGTGTGTACTTACAGAGTGTAAAGAGTCAGGGGAGGGGGTTCTCTGAGCCTCGGTTTCTCCATCTGGATAAAAGCTAAATGAAATAGTCCATCTACAGTGACTAGGAAAATGCCCCAAAGTTAGTTGCTGAAAGATGCTATGCTAATTTCATTATATAGTTGTTGTTGTAACTACAATTGCTTCAGAATATCTAAGAATAACTGTCAAGCTAGTGGTTATAATCTGTACTCTTCAGGCTCTCAGATGGAGAGTTTCCAGTGGAGGTCTGAGTGACTTCCTCTCATCGGTAATAGGATAAAAGAGTTAATGTGAGGAGAGCCTGTGCAGAGTGAGCAGGTGGTCTCTGCCTTGAATTGTTCCCAGCCATGAAGCCACGGAAGTAATGATAAGATTCAGGTCTTATGGCCAGAGGCCAAGGGGATATGCAAGAGAGATGGTTGTTTGAACTGAGGAGGTCAGGTAGCTCTGAGGCCAAGGACTGGTTGTGTTTCATAAGATGAGGAAGGAGCCAAAGCAGAGAGAAGGAGGGAAGGAACTGGTTTGCAAGCCTTCCAAAGATGACTAGAAGGCTGGAGGGAGAGATGGCAGCCCTTATGGGGGAGACTTGTGCACACCTCAGCATCATGGGGTCTTCTAAAATGATGGAGAAGGAATCCTGGTCTCTGTGGAGGGCACAAAGCAGCTGAGGTGAATGGGGCACAAGAGACCACTAATCAAAGTAGTGAGGTTATTCCTGTTCATTAAGCTAAACTTCATAGAGAGCTGAAGTTTAGAATTTCAGTATTTAAGACACAGTAAGATTTCTGATACAGAGGTTAACACGGGCAGGCATTCCACACCTAAGAAATTTGTCACCTACCATCCATAGAGTGCCACAGCGTGAAAAAGATATGGTCTAGTCAGGAATAGAGAGGCCATATTCTCCTCCCCCAACCCTGGTGACAGCTGTCGGGGCCTGTTTTTTTTTCTAACTGAAAGCAGAAGGAAGGTTTGGCATTTTAGACTTAAATATTAAAATGTAGGACCAGGATGAAGCTACGTTTCCAAAACCTTCACACGTCTTCTCTTGGCAAACACGGGCTTGCTTAAATACAGCTGATAGAGAATCATTGGGAGCCACAGCTCATTGCTGATGAGCTAGGGAGAGCCTTGCAGCTGATCCCAGGTCCTCCAAGCTGGAACACCGTGCCTCGGCAAGTTAAACAGCACATTACGGTAATTTCCTCAAAGTCTGAACTGTGTTTTAACTTTCTCCTTCCATTCCCCAGAGCTCAAATACTTCCCTGAGACTTCGAAGGAAACCCCGAGAGAGTGATTTTGAAACAATTAAACTGATCAGCAATGGAGCCTATGGGTGAGTATTCCGAGCCGAGCTCTCTAGCATATTGTGACACACTGGAGTGCGATATTTGCTTTTCAGTTGTACCTTATGATAAGTAAATGCTGCACAGGGACTGGCATTTTAGAAGGCCGCTTCTTCCCACGTCAGGGGTAACATGCAGCCAGAATCACTTCTTCTGAATGCCCAACAGAAGGCACTGTCAGTGGTGACCCAGGGCTTATTTAAGAAGATTGGAGAGAAAGATTTCATAAAGTAAAAGAAAAATATTCCATATTCCTGTTTCTGTTACTTAATCTGTGCTTGCAGTTGAAAGATACTTGGTTGAGATCATATACGTTTTATATTGTGTGAAACACTACATACCTGTGACTTCTTAGACTAGCATTTTTATTAAATTGAATGAAACACTAGCATTTCTTCCTTGACCCATTTTTTTCCCCGAAGGAATAGAGTTATATTCTAGATTTATATAAATGTGTTCAAAGAATGGATTTGAAGATTCTAGTGGACACTAAATTCTTGTTATCTTTCTTTCTTTCTTCCCTTCTTTCTTCCTTCCTTTCTTTCTTTCTTTCTCTTTTATTAGTAAGTATGTCTTTTTATATTGGATAAGATGGGTCTTCTTTTCTCAAAAATGTTGAGACAATATCTCATGTAGCCCAGGCTGTACTTGAACTTACTGTGTAGCCAAGGATAACCTTGAATTCCTGATCCTCCTGCTTCCACTCATTGAGTGCTAGGATTAGAGATTTGTCTCACTACTGTTTTTTTTTGGGGGGTGGAGGTATTATTTTGAATTTTTTGTAATCTGTTGATATCTGTACACCCATTTGTAATCTGCACACATACTTACACTGGACACTTCAGTACCCTGGAACAGTAGTATTGCAATGTGAGTTTAATGGTGACATCGTAGTTAACGTTTTCATTTTTTTAAACATTTACTATTTCTTTATGCAAGGAACCTTTGATTTCTCTCTTGTTGAATTCCTGGATCCATTTCTGGAACACAGTTTCTTTCCCAAGGTATAAGTAGTGACAATAGTAAATTGTAAATAGTAAATTCTGAGTTATCAATAAATAGTGTAGAAGGACACTTAAACATGCAGTCTGTGACCTAATCCATCTAGACTGGCCAAGAATTCTATCTTAACTTCATATTAATCCCAATTCCATTTGCATGTATACAGAGAGCGATAAATCATCCCTGAGACGTTTACTGCCGTTTACTCACGTAGGAGCAGATGAGACAGTGATTTTTGTTACGCCACGAGGGATGTTTCTCCTTCTTGTTTTTTCACCTCTAATATTTTCCACACCATTAACTTAGCAAAGGACTTAAATATTTGTGAGCCTTCTCTATGCATCACTGGCTTTCGGGATTATGTCGAATGTTTCCTGATGCAGCCCATAAATGCTTTTAGACGTTATCTGTTTGCAAATATATGCGTTCTTCGTTGAAAATTTTCTACCGTGCAATTATTTGTGCCTTTTATTTGCTTATTACCACTTGTTTTGTGGTTGTTCATCCTTCTGGAGATGACCCCAGGCAATTCGTAGTAGAAAGAAGCCAGCAGGTTGATCTCACAGGCATGGGGTTGGAGCACTTCTTCTCTTTCAGCAGCGGAATGATTCTGGAAGGAGATGTTCTAGGAAGCAACCCTTTCGTACGTCTTGGGCATGTATCTTAGCAGTATTTGGAGTTCTAATTGGTTGAGTAAACTCATTTGTAGTGCAATTAAACCACTGTATAGTAGATGAGGTATATCACACTTTGGGGAACGGTTGCGAATATACAAGAAGTTAAACAAGCTGTGAATTAGTAAACACCCAGGATGCAGGCCAAGTCATTAGTGGGCTCACAAGCTGCCTGTCAGAGCCTCTGCTGATCAGCCAGAACTGCTTCTCCCCTCTTCTCTTCTCAGAAGTAATATCTCATTACATTTCTGACAGATTTCCTTTCTATCTGAATTATTTTTAATTTAAAATTGGAATGGAGCTACCCCTGTCAATTCAACCAGCCACGATTCCATCTTCAGGCTAGCGGAACAAATAGACCTTTAGAAGGGTAGAGTCTCTGGGCTCTTCCCACTGTCTTTGGTATCTGTGTAACAGGGGCTCACTACATACATCAGTGGCTCGGAGATGTACAGACTCTGTCTCCCCAAAAGCTGTTGGTGCTGGGAACCAACCCTCTCATTATAAAAACATGGTAAGACAAGTGTCTTGTGATGGCTGACTATGTTGGTAATGCCAGTTTGGTAAGTGTGTACTGGTCTCCAGGTGGATGTGAAATTTCTCTTTATACCTACATAGTACTCATAGAAGACCGAAGCTAGTGAATCCAGCATTGCGATGGCCTCTTTGTCTGTGTTCTCTGCTTAAGGGACTGGGGTGGTAGTTGATACCTTTTCTACTTGTCTATGGAGCAGGACCTCAGGTGCACAGAGCCTCTGGTGCCAGGCAGAGTACTCTATTTCCTACAAATATCCTTTGATTATAACTTTCTCTTATCCCTATGGAGAAATAAAGACCTAACTTCTGCCATTGAACATTGATTGGACTTTTAAGCCATAACCTCAAAGAAGTTTTAAAGAGTTGTTTTTTCTTTTTCCCTCTTTGGATTGGGTGAGTCAAAATGGGGTACTTCCATAGTTCAGGCTGGCCTCATATTTGCTATGTAGACTAGCTTTGACCTCCTGATCCTCTTATTACAAGCTAAAAAAATTGACTCAGAATTAGAACACTTAAAAGTTGCAACATTTCTCCCTCATTGTACTTTTCTTTTTGACCTTGATACACACTATTCTCTCATGTCTCACGGGCCCAGAAACATTTAGTAGTGAGACCCATGAATGCAAGCTGACACACACCCATTCGCACATTAGCTGTGGTTACCTACTCCCCATGCCTGACTCCCACTTATGGATCTGCTGGCTCACATTTGTGCGCTGGGCTTTCAGAGTCTCATGATTTCATATGCACTAGGATCATGCTTCCAATGGAGCAGGTGTTCACTGGGCTTCAGCATCCCGCTCATGGACCTTACTTCTTTTTATCTTGCATAGACAGAGAGATGCCTGGCTCCCGGAGGGCACGGGTCTCCAGCTGCCTTTCTACCATGTCATTGCCCACTCTTGGCTTTCCTGTGAAGGAAGAGACACAATAGCCTTTTCCAACAAAGCAATCTTGGGGGCCAGAAAACAAAGAATTAGAAAGCCTTAGCAGACAATGCAGTGTTGGATCATTAGGACGTTCATAGTTCATTCAGTGGAGTTAGCTGTCCATCAGTTCCTCTGCCTCTGACTTCTGTTCTTACTTTGGGTCTCTTTCTCAATGCCTTGCTCTCTGCTAACGTAAGTAGATCACAAACATCGCCATATAGGGCAAGATGGATGTGGCAGATACAGTTATTGCTAAATAAGTTTTAGCATTAAGAATAATGCTCCAGTCAGGTGGTGGTGGCACACATCTTTAATCCCAGCACTCAGGAAGATGAGGCAGGTGGATCTCTTGAGTTTAAAGCCAGTGTGGTTTTAGAGAGTAAGTTCCAAAACATCCAGGGCTACACGGGGAAACCCTTTCTCGAAAAACCAACATAAATAATACCCCAAAAGCAAAGCAGAAATATCAGAAACTAAGAACATAAACTAGAAGCAGAAGATATAGCCCAGTGCTAGATCACTTGCCCAAAATGTTCGAGGCTCTGAGTTCAGTGCTCAGCGTTGTAGAAATGGCCAACAAACCCCCACTCATGAAACATTCAGCAGCAGCAGATACCAACTAGGTACTCTGATCTACTTCAGCAGTTTAATGAACATTTGGCTGAAAACTAAAGTATCCACCTTGTGATAGTTGGAGTGGGGCATTCAGAATATGGGCCTAAAGGTCCTTAGCACCGAACTTAATGTGCAGTATTGAAGGAAAAGCTGGAAGGCGTGTTATGATCCAGTTGATTTTTAAGAAGAGACAAGCAATTCTAAAAAGATGACGTTCTTATGTTAATAGTTTGAGTTCTTAATTTTATTTAAAAATATATCTCCCATTTCAGAAATCTACTTTAATGACAGTTGTTTACCAATGTGTATCTTATATTTGGGGATTGGCCAAGTTGTTTTCTGTACTCCTTTGTGAATATCTTCACATCTGGCCTCCATCATGGTTAGAAGCAGCTTTCAAAATATATAGATTTTGTATTTTATCCTAATCGGTGGTTCTAAAAAAAGGAAAATGCAATAAAAGCTTTTTACCAGATATAAAAATATGTACTAACTGGTTAGTTAATTTAAAAGTTGGTCATAGTAAGAAATCTTTAGGAAAACATGTACAATAAACATTTAGGTTTAACTTACATATGTATATTGTCTTTAGTTTTGAGGCCTTTGAAGACAGTTGACCTGAGCCATTCTTAAAATGCATGGTTTCTGTTTCCCAAGGTTAAAGGTGAAGCTGAAACTTGAAGCAGTCTGAATGTAGGCCTCTGAATGTTTTGACAGCTTTTGGAAAGTTCATTCCTGCTAAACCAACAGGAATTTTACTTAGTCATCTGCATCTATTGAGACCTTCCAAAACACTTATTAGCAACAGAACTTCTCATTGTCATAGTGAGATTTCATTGGTTAACACCTTACTAGCTGCTTTTCTCTTTACTATAATCAAGTTCATCAGAAGCCCACCTAAGGGTGGAAGGATTTGTTTCAGTCCCTGAGAGTCTCTGTCCATCACAGCAGGGGCACTATAGGGGACTGGATTTCCTTCCATATCAATGGCAGTTTACAACACACATGTTACATGTGGCTGAAACCAGGGAGCAGAGACCACGCCCCTACATCCCCAGCCACCAGCTAGGTCTTTCTAAAGACTCCACAATCTCCTCTGACACCACCACCTTCTGGGGACCAGGTGTTCAAACATAGGTTTTTCTAAAGACTCCAAATCTCCCCTGACACCACCGTTGTCTGGGGACCAGGTGTTCAAACACTTGAGTCTGTGGTAGCCATTAACATTCAAATCATAACAATTAGTTTAACTATTTGAATTAGCTAATTATTTTTTTAAAAACAGAGTCTTATGTGGCTCCAGTTTGCTGTATAAGCAAAGATGTATGTGACCATCTGACCCTCTAGCTTCGTCCCATGTGCCTGAATTACTATTGCTATCAGGTGTAACCAAGAGAACAGGTGTAGGAGCAAACGCAGCCTATAAGAGCCCAGCACTGAGCTGAGGCATCCTACAGAAGACCCCTCACTTAATGTACAAGATGTCCGACTGACTGATTGTCATGTGCTTTTGTTTTATGGTGCAAATCAAAGTTTTATGGTGACTGTGCTACTCAGTGAGTTGTTTTGAGGAGTGTCATCAAGAGATCTTCCTTTGTACCATATGGTGAGCAAGAAACTAGAAAAGCAAATAAAGGAAGAAAGGGAACAGGGAGTGAGCAAAGCCAAAGATAATAGAGAGAGGAATACAAATGAGTGACATTGTGAACCAAGAAAAGAGGGGGCATAGTGACAAGATAAACACATCAGAAAGAAAGAGCAAGCCCTAGTTGAGTGCTTCTGTGAAAACATTCAAAACAGGCTAAATCAGAGTTGACTATACTGAGACTTAACCATATATGCCCTGAGCTATTGGTTCAGCAGGGAACAGAATGTCCCAGCCTGCCTTGCCATTCATTAGCCATTACTGAGCAAACTAGTGGAAAACACATCTAAGTTCACATAGCTCCTTGTTTTAGAAGGTATACCAATTGTGTGTGTGACTTTGTCAGTAAATTATTCCATATTTGATCAAGGCCTTTGGTCTAGGGAAGCATGTACAATCTATTACACATTTATACATATATTTACAGAAAGGTTTAGTGCTCCTTTAAGGGATTACTTCATGTGATCATTGCCTTCTTGGAAGCTCAAACCTGTCCCTCCGTGAAAACAAGTGGAGTGACTTGGAAGAAGGGGGCCATCCGAGGCCTTCCCTTGTTGCTTATGTCCTATTAGGGATTTTAGGACTCCTGTCTTTATAAGTACCCCTTTCTCCATGTCATCCCAGTCCTTAGGGAGTTCACTGTCTTTCACTAGAGAGGATCTGGGCAAGGCCATAGGAGAAATTGAATGTGGCCTAGGCAAGTCATTTTATTCAATAAAGTTGCTTCACATCTTGGCCAGGATGTGGGGGCAGCAGACATGCAGCTCCTTGGCTTGCCCCTCAGGCCCCCCTAGCCCGTTCGGTTGAGAAATGCATTTGCTGCTGGAGCTCACAGAGGGTGGTGCATGTGGAGTCTGCAGTGAGGAAATATGCTACTCTTTGTTGCAGAACATTCTCATATATCCTCATATACGCTTCTCATTTATCTGGAGATTCCATGGGAAGTAATTACTCTCAATTGGAAACCAGGGACTCTAAGAAGCCCTGGTCCTCTATGCAGATCCCAAGGGTATCATTTAGAAAATTACTGCTTTAGTCAGTCCAGAAAACGTGCCTAACATATGTCTAATGCTAGAAAGGATGTCGCTCGTGATCTGTATGTAATTTTGTTAATTCTTCCCAGTTCTGATTTATATATTGGATTTTGTTTTGTTTGTGGAAAAACTGAAAACATCAGCTAGTTCTTGGGAAATAACTCACTCTGGCTGCCCCGTTTTTGGAGCAGCAATGGCAAATCTGATGCTTTATGTATGATCTTTATTAAAAAGCCAATTTGGGTTTGGAATAAGATATTGCTAAGTCACCAGCACAGCTGTGGCAACTTAGCTTGAGCTGTTAGGAACTCAAAAAGCATAGGGTTTATGTGGTTTGTGTATCCTCTGGGCATCCTTACCTTCTCTCTTCCTGTGAACCCAATACCTGCATTCCATTTCAGGGCAGTCTACTTTGTTCGGCATAAAGAATCTCGGCAGAGGTTTGCCATGAAGAAGATCAACAAGCAGAACCTCATCCTTCGGAACCAGATCCAGCAGGCCTTCGTGGAACGTGACATCCTGACTTTTGCAGAGAACCCCTTTGTGGTCAGCATGTATTGCTCCTTTGAAACAAGGCGTCACTTATGCATGGTCATGGAATATGTGGAAGGTAAATCCAGAGAGACCGTGTTGCCTGGACCTAGATATTGTAGACACGAATACATCTGTGCCGAGTAACAGCTCTATCCACCTAGGAGCCCAAGCAAGCAACAAGATGGCCGAATCCCCAGTCATTACCTTCAGATAATTGCTTGTAAAAATGCCTGCTACTATAACAAAGGGGAAATTAGTGTTATCTGGGAAAAGGTTGTTTTCTTTTTTAATAGCATTTAATCCTAACTACCTCCCTTCAGTTGATCATTAAGGTTGGAATATAAGCAATGGGTTTTTTTTTCCTACTTCTTTTTATCACATATCATAAAATATGTTCATCATCATTAGTCTTCTCAAAAGGTGAATTTAAAAGATATCCTTTTTAGCCTGTGGTGGGAAATGAAAAATCCAGGCCACTCCTCCTTTATAGCCAAGCATCAGCCTCTTGAGTGCTAGGGTTACCAGCATGCCTGACCGTGCCCCGCCTCCTCCTCCTCCTCAGCCATTTGTGGTTTGCATCTTAAATGTTCCAAGTCATCTTATTTCTCTCTCTCCTTTTTTTTTTTAATTACACTTCTGAGACTTTCCATCTCTCTGACTCATTGACATAAAGTTATCACAATGAGTAGCTTAGCAAAGGGCCAGACCACGTTCCCTGGGTCTCGTTTAGGCTCTTTTTCTGGAGAGAAACCCTCACTATACATCTCCAAGAAACAGTACGCTTCTCACTTATGTTCCTAGTTTGGAGCTAAGGGGATTGGCAGCCGAAAAAGGGAGCTTTAGTGGGAACTGAGTGGTAGATAGAACCCTAAACCATTAGCCCAAGTTCTACCCATTGTTCTTTCTACCGCACAAGTGCTTTGTTTCTGAACTGTTGTGGTGGTTGTTTCTATAATAACTTTTTATCACATTTGGTATGTATGAAGCTAGGTCCTCACTCCTTTACTAGACTGAACCTTAAATAATCCTATAAAGGTTAAAGGTTCTTAACCTTCCTAATGTTGTGACCCTTTAGTACAGTTCCTCATCTTGTGGTGACCCCCAACAATAAAATTATTTCGTTGCTACTTTATAACTGTAATTTTGCTACTGTTATGAATCATATTGTAAATATCTGATATGCAGAGTATCTGATACATAACCCCAGGAAAAGGGTCTTTCCATCCCCAGTTGAGAACCACTGCTCTGCAGGATGAGATTATTTCTAACCCAATATTGCAATGAAGTAACCAAGACCACCAAACTCATTTGCCTAAGAGCTTCCAGCTGCTCAGAGACATGATTCCACCTCTTTAATCTAATTCTAGCATCTGCGTTTTATACTGATACATTATAAATTAGTACAATCATCCCAAATTGTGCTAGAGATTCTTCAGAACACAGTTCACTTCAGAGCCAAACTGCTCTCTTCACTCCACTTCTTAATTGGAAACATGACGACTTAACACAATCTCCACTTATGAGTGTGACTCTGCTTTGAAGTTCCGTGATCTACAAGTGTTAGCCGTCAGTAATCCTGCTGGATGCTGTTCCTACTAAATTTGTTTCCTGTGCTTTTCAGGGGGAGACTGTGCGACCCTAATGAAAAACATGGGACCTCTTCCAGTTGACATGGCTAGGATGTATTTCGCAGAGACAGTCTTGGCCTTGGAGTATCTGCATAATTACGGAATCGTACACAGGGATTTGAAGCCAGACAAGTAGGTACCCTGATGAAATAAATGTCTTCTTTTACATAAGACTGAACATTTTCTTCTATCTGCGAAATGTTTTTAAGGCTATTTGCACATTTCAAAAATTGTCCTTAGTATAAAAAAAATGAGTTATTTTAATAGTAACTTAATGGTAACTTTTATACATTTCTTGAAAGACTACAATGCTTACAATGAGAACTTAGAAATAGGGCAAATGACTCTAGAGTTAATTCCCTTCTTATCATGTAAATTTTTGAATAATGACATAGTGTTGTTTTGGGGAGCACTTTGTACTTGGCGTCATACTTACATAAGCTTTTCCTTCCCACGGTAATATATGTGACATGATATTCTATTTTACTTATTTTACTATCATACTTTGTTAGTTTGGAGTTCATTGTCGGCTCTGATTTGAGATACGGATAGAACTTTCCCCAAGTAGCTAGCCATTCATCTTGAAGTCACATATGGTGTATTTCATGCTTTCTGCACTAATGTGAAACACTGCTAAGTGTGTTGAGAAGTGTGTGACAAACTAAGACTATGTTCATCAGAAATCCAGGGGGTGGAAGTGGGGGTACACACAGGGAAAGGAAAGAACAACTTCATATACAACTATCAGAATTTTGGCATAATTCCTTCTAGTAGCTTTGTTTGCTTACTTGTTTGAGACAGAGTCTCTCTCTGTAGCCCTGGCTGTCTTGGAACTCCCAGAGATCCACCTGCCTCTGCCTCTGCCTCCTGGGTGCTGGGATTCTTAAAGGCGTGCACTACTGCTGGCCCTCCTTCTAGTAGCTTTTTAAAAATCCTCTGTCACTTTAACCTTTTAATCGATAGAATGCTGTTTTTTTTTTTACTTACAATGAAATATTTTAATATATTCAAATGTAACCTTTTTGCATTATAATAAGTCCAAGCTTTGTACTTAATGAGTTGAAATTCAATTCAAAGCTGGAAGTGGAAAAGTGAAGAACTAGGCTTTCCTGTCCAGGTTCTTTTATCTATGTCTTGTTTTAATCACAAGTGGATTCCTTACCTGAGTTCCTGGTAATACCACAGGACTATTGGATCATTTCTTCTCTGTTTTCTTATTCTGCAAAATGGAAAGAGGTGCCTGGAAAGATGGCTCAGTGGTTGAGTACTGCTATTGCAGACGGCCTGAGTTCGGTTCCAGCACCCACAGTAGGTGTCTCACATCCTCTTCGCTTTTATGGGCTCTTGTGCCGTTTTCTGAACTCCACGGTACCCTCATTCATATGTGCACATGCACTCCCGCCCACGTTCACACACACAAACGCATAACTTTAAAAATACGTCTGAGATCAGGCACAGTCAAAGTTCACAGACTGAAAAAGAGAGGAATTAGACTTCTGTACCTAAGGTTTTAAGAGTTTCTTAAGTGATGCAAAAACAACGCTAACATTGGATGTGATTGCTCCAACAATGACAGCAGAACCTCAGCTCTGGCCTTGACTTCTGAATCGTGCTCAGTGCTCAGACGCAAGTACCCTACTCCTTCACCCGCCTCCCTCTCTGACCAGGCTTCATTTTGCAATAGAGTTGATGTTTTACGAACCGAGGGGGAAAAGAGGGAGACCTAAAACAACAGACTCTGCTTCCAAGTGATTGTTGTGCCCTTTGTCCTTCTGTCTCCTAGCCTGTTGGTCACCTCCATGGGGCACATAAAGCTGACTGACTTTGGCTTATCTAAGGTGGGATTGATGAGCATGACCACCAATCTCTACGAAGGTCATATTGAGAAGGACGCTCGAGAGTTCTTAGATAAACAGGTAAGCTCGGTTGCTGCTCTGCCTGTGGAGAGAATCAAAGCTCACTGCAGCCAGTGAATTCAGAGTGCACCTGTGCAGCCCGTCTCCACATTAGCGCTGCCATTTGGATGTCTGTATAAGCCTTGCCTTTAATAAAGTGCGGACTGCTCCCATTTGTCTCCCTGGGCCCCTTTGAACCGTCCGATCCCTCTCCATTCCTCCCCTAGCACTAAGGTCTATTAGCAAGATGAACAGTCTAATTGCACACGAGTGAGAGGGTGAGAGAGACAAATGGAAAACTGTTTTTGTAAGGAATTCAGGAGTCTCAGTAGAGTACTTGTGAAACTCATGATGCATTGCGCAATCTCAGCCGCTAGAATCCCAGCTATGGCCCATTTCCTTTTAAGCATGCCTCATTACCATGTGCCCACAATCTGTTCATTGTGAAGTTACTTAAGGTAAACCCATCTCAGCTGCCACACCTTCCTGATATAACCACGGGGAGAATCAGTTTGGCCATATAAACAATTGAGCTACCTCTAATAGTGACAGATTAAGCACACACTATTATTTTTCAACGTAAAAATGCTTTTTAGTATTGTTATAAAACTGTACACAGGTTAGGTTTGCAATTTGAGACTAAGCATAATAGATATGTTCTTTGTCATTGTAATTTCTGTCCTCAAGGTCTCTGCCCATGGGTTTTCTAGTAGGTAAGCAGGGTTATTTGAGGCAGTATAATTGTTTAGTCATCTTGTTCACTTTAATTCATGTCTAATACCCAGTTATTCTAATACAGCAATTTCATTTTAGGTCTGTGGTACACCTGAATACATCGCCCCCGAGGTGATTCTGAGACAGGGCTATGGGAAACCCGTGGACTGGTGGGCCATGGGCATTATCCTCTATGAATTTCTGGTTGGATGTGTGCCTTTCTTTGGGGACACTCCAGAAGAGCTATTTGGACAAGTCATCAGTGGTAAATATCATCAAGAGTTATCTTTAAGCCACTACTGGGAAACAGCTACCCAATGTAAAGCTGTTGTGTGTCACTAAAATGTTAACCTCTGTCCACCATTGGAGCCAACAAATTAAAAGAGCTCACTTCTCATAACGCACAGCCGCTCCATGCTTTCTCAAGAGAGTGATGTGTGTTGAAATGGATCTGAGGAAGGTTTGTGAACATGGACTTTGGAAATGAGCTGGCGATGTGTCCAACTTTCCTTGTCCGCTACTTTTTCTAAAAAAGAAATTGATGTGGGATTTACAAATGCTTTCCCTGTTAGCTGGCCTTCGTTTTCATAGTAGGAAAGTTGCACCAGGGAAGAAAAGGTTAATGTGAGTAACATTTTTACAAATGGGAAAAAAATGGCTAATGGCACAATGAAGAAATTAACAAAAATGTAATAGCCCCTAAAACAAATGTCTACCAAATAATAAATAATGAGAATGGCAAGGCAGTGAGTGGAACCCACAGACTGTTAATGCGTTCATTGGTAGTTGTGATGTGTGATGTTATTTCTACAGCAGCTGTTCATCTTTCATTTAAAATTCAATAACCTTTAGATCTTGCCCTGCGAGCTGACCCTAACTATTGTCATGTAGCATGTGGCACACCTAAATGATAAGTAAATAGGGCCCACTGCTCGCCTCCCTGCTGATTTTGTAAATTTCCCCAATGCAGAGATGACAGGAAAGGCCTCTCTACCTGAAAGGTCGTCAGGCCCCACTGATAACTCCATCAGCCGCCTCTGGTCCCAACCTGCTCTGCGCTTATGCCAGCCAGCAGTGGAAACAGGGGAAATTCATTGTGCTCGTAAAGAGCCTGTAATCGTACGATTATTTTCTGACGTTGGCTTTGCAAGCCAGGCGTATTTGTAAACTTTAACAAAGTAGATTTGTTGAATCGCCTGCAGAGTAAAAGCCCTTTATATAATATCTGAGCTGTTTATGGATTTATAACTAGGCTGTTTTCTGACAGACCAAGGCCTGAATGGCAAGGGGAATCAACTGTTTAATTAACACAAGCAGCAAATGCTGGCTTTGTTCTCAGTGCCTTACGGCTCTGATGCATATTCATGTTTTATTTTCCAAATCAGATTTAAACTGCAGCAGAGGAAGCTAGAGGCTGGCGCACACAAAAATAACTCATGTTTTTATTGCATTTCCATAGGCACGAGCATGCACACACACCTATCTCCAGGCAAACTCCTTTAGAGCAAGAACATAGTTTAATAACTCTGACAGACTTTAAATACTCCCATTACTATGGTATCCTTTCGGTTTTCTCTTCTTCAGCCTTAACATTTTGGACTTTATCTTTGTCTCTAGAAATAATTACTTTTTGCAAAATAACCTTTTACTCCTTGGAGCTAAAGAACTGAGCAGGCATGACCAAACTCTCATTTGAGGCTAGTAAGAAAATCTTACACTTAGATGGTTCCCGATGGGTAGGCACCTAGCATGAAGCTATTCGGTTCTGTTATATTAAACTCTTCTAATAACCAGGAGGAGCGGCTTGTTAGGAGACAGTTCTGTCAATGAAAAAACGTGAATGAAAGGTACAATTTATTGAAATAGTCTTTTGAAATAAACCTTGAAGAAACTGGTGTTGTCCAGGCCCTGTAAGGTAATACTGTTCAAACTTGACCACATAGAAGTAAACTGAAGATCTTAAATGGAGGTTTTGTCTCCGTGTTTCTGGGATGGGGCCCATGGTTCTGCCCTTTGAGCCATAAAGCTGTAGCCATCTTCTCTTCCTTCCAGATGAAATCAACTGGCCTGAAAAGGATGAGGCCCCTCCTCCAGATGCTCAGGATCTGATTACTTTGCTGCTCAGGCAGAATCCGCTGGAGAGGCTGGGAACAGGTTAGAGAGCATGTGTGTTGCTTTTGCCAATATACAAGAAATAATGTCCTCTGGAGCAATCTGAAGCTTCTGCTAATGTTTTCTGTGTAGGTAACATCTGTTAGAGGATGTAGGACATAGCTACAGCACATTATAGCAATATTATTTCGTTGGGGTGTGTGTGTGATTTAGAACAGCACATCCAAGCGGATGGGTAGTGTTTTTGTGTTTTGCAAAGGCGAAACTCTTAATTTAGTTCAATAAATGCATCTCCAGGGTATGTACCAATCTTCTGTTTTGAAAAACATGCATCGTAAATAATTGGAAACGGAAAATCAGATATGAGGAGCTCTTTTTGGTCGTGTTTTTAATATACATTCCACGAGGATTTAAGCCAGCAGGCTTCTATCCATAGCCTTTGAAATAGGTTATCAGCGCTCCAACTGATTACTAGAAATGAGGGCCTGGGGCTGAGCCAGACTTTCCTATCGTGGTGATCAGCACCATGGCCCAAGAACGGGAATTAAACCATTGCCTTTGAAGATAAATGAGATAGTCTGTTTGTTTCTTGCTGATATTTTTCTCCCCTTAGTTTTACACCCATGTGCTTCCTTTTCTCTCCTATACTGTGGATAGAAACACTTTAGACATCTCTTGGGATAGCATCAGGCCTGCCTAGGTGAATCTGTTTTAGCAAGACAAAGATGTTAAATGTAAATGCATATACTCTAGGCGGTAATTAGTAGTTTTATTGGTGAAAATTGTTGGCTTCCTGTGGTCATTTATTCTGAAGTTCTGTTCCATTGTAATAGAAACATCAGTAAAGATGAGGGCAACCATTTCTCCCCCATTTTTCCAAGGACAATTACGTGTGGACTACTTTAGGCCAGGCCCAGTGGTGCAAACCTACAGTCACATTACTTGAGATGTAGTGGCAAAAGGATCCAGAGATCAAGATCATCCTTAGCTACATAGTGCATTCAGGGCCAACCTGGGCTACATGTGATCCTGTACACTGGAGCTTATGATAATACATTAAACTGCAGGCCAGAAAAACTATGGTGTATAGGCCAAATCTGTCCAGTTTCCTGTTTTTACAAAGTTTTTTAAAGCAGAAACACAGCAGTGTCTTTTCATGAGACATGTCATTTATGACTGCTTTCATGCTACAACAGAGTTGGGTAGTCATGACCAACTGTATAGCCCACAGGGACTAACTATGGACCACTCTGCCCTTTACACAGAAATTATGCAGACTCCTTGTTACAAAATTCAGAAAGGCTTAAATCTGGACTGACCTAAGAAGTAACTACTGAGTTGAGCCACCGGCTGGAGCTCCATGTTCCTTACTACCCTTTGCAGTGAATGAGTGTGCCTTTGTCTTGAAAAACCTCTGAAGTCTAGGCAAAGGGCACAAAAGAGTCACATGGCCAGAGTCTAAAGCTTGCTTCTGTGGCCAAGAGTAGGCTTCCTTTAAGGCATCCTACCTCAAAATATTGTTGTGAGACATGAGGAGGTCACCTGAAGCAAGACTTAGAACCAGGTGTGGTGCTTCTGGTACTGTATTTGACCTTCAGCTTGAACCTCAAACCTTCCTTTAGGTAAGGGCCATGGCATAGTGGTGGTATGGCTACCTTGAAGCCTACTGTATTTGAAATGAGTATTTCTTCCCACCCTATCTGCTTTTCCATTTGTCTGAACTGTCAAACTTGTTATTTCTCTTCTTATGTGACCTCAGTCAGATAGATCTGCATTGTGGTTCAAGAGATAAAAATGGCTGTCAAGGAAAGATTTTGACTGGGTTATGCCATATATATGAGAAATGGCTGCTTTTCAAGATTGCTCTGCGATATTACAGATATCTATTTAGATTTCCCATTCAGCTGACCCAGAAGAAGGGTTTCCATTATCAGACTGAAAAATGCATTTGAATGGGCACATCCTCACCAATGGGAGCTCAAAAGTCCCCTGTCCTGCAGTCCCCAGGGTCCACTTTGGAGTTTTTCCATTTGATAGCCTGCCCTTCCCCTTCTCTAAGGATGCTAGGATCTTTGATTAGGCTTGACTTAACAAGACAGGGTTAGACCCTCTAGGCAGCAGGTCCCTATGTATGTATCAGAAGCTACAAGTTACTTCTCTGCACATTTTCTCGTTGACTGCTGCTGTCAGTGTCTGACAGTTGTAAGAGCAAATTCCCTAGGAGAAACCCAAAAGAGACATTTAAAGGTCTCTCTCAAGCTCCTAGAACAGCCAAGAAGTGATTGCCAAACCGGCAGGGCCAATGTGATGGGTCCCAGTAGGGCCTCCAGAATGACACTGCGGATCCTGCAGGCCTGCCATGCCGCTTCCAGTGACAGCATCTTGTATTCAACGCATATTTAGCGGGCAAAATAATGCACCGTGAAAATCTGTGAATGCACATTTGCCTGAGAGACTGGAGAGGCTGAGAAAGAAAAAAAAAAAACAGGCCGTAAAGAGCATAATGAATGTTTAAGAAGCTTCTAGGAAAGGAGAGGAACTCAAGGGAATACACTAGTGCCAAACTAGAGCTGAGTAGGACCTAGTGCTATACTTGCACTAGATTGATAGAGACAGACAGACAGACAGATAGACATGTAGACATGTAGGCATGTATACTCTTGAACCTTGGCTTGCTGACCTTCAAGCTGTTCAGACATGTCTGCCAACGACAGATCAGCTGTGAACTCTTAGGGCTCTTTATCATCATCCTCAGTTTCCCACTATATAAAAATGGGCACATTGGACATCTCGGGATTATTGTGAGGACTAAATGCAATGATGCTCATATGCAGATGTAGTCCATGGAACCAGCCACACACCAGAGGATCAAGGCAAATTCTTCCCTTTCATCCTCCTCCTCCTAGCAATGAGCGCGCGCTCTCTCTCTGCACGTGCACGACCTGTACATGGTTCACAAGACTCTCACCTACACTTTTACCAGTAGTTTAGCCCACAGACTGTCTCCCCCTTCTATTCTTTTTTAATCCTTCCTTCCTCACCTCTCCGTGAGTACATGAGAAGCAGAGGCTACTGATAGCTGCTTCTTCTGAGTAAGGCACAAAAGTACGTTAAGGAACCCGAGCTACATCTTCCGTGGCTGTGTCTCACTGGGGGAGACACACTTGTCATTATCCATGGAAAGAAAGCAGAGCCCTCATCAGCTTGAGGTCCATAGATGGAGACAGGAGAGGATGAGAGCATTTATTGGGAACTAAAAGAGAAGCAAGGTGTGCAGTGAGCTGGAGTGGGTTGTGGGGGAGGGGGTGCTGTAGAATAGACTTGCCAACTAGCTTAGATACCCAGCCTGGGCAACAGTGGATCCCTGTCAGACTCCTGCAGGACAAACAATGAAGCAGAAGGAAATGAAAGCATAGGATCCCATGTGTAGAGGTGAGACTACGGCACTGCTTCTGGGCCTGCGTCTTTTAAAGACAGACAGACCTACGAGTAGCTTTCTTCTTCTTATCTGGAGGATCCCAGGCCAGTGAGCTCTGTTGCTTTTCATTAGTCTCCCCGTTTAAAACTGGAGTTGGTAACGCCGACCCTATCTAGGGGAAGTTTCAGTTATTTAGACGAAGCACTGTACCTAAGCATCAAATGCAGTACTGTCAGGGCGAGATGTCACCTAAGGAGTTTCTGTGGGTTTCCGGCACTCAGATGGAGAGGACATCCTCACTCACATGGCAGCACATGGTTTCAGGAGAAGATAACCTAAAGCAAAGCTGGGGATCACTGAGGGAAAGGCTGTGCCCTCTCAAAGGTAGGACCAGGGTGCAACCCTTAAGAAAGAGACGCAAGTCCTAACAATAGCTGGGTGCTTTTGTGACTCTTGCAAGTTTCGTGCTCAAAGGCTATAATTTATAACCAGGTTCAAAGATTAAGCAAAGCTTTAAGACCATGAGCCAGATTGCTTATTTTTCTCTAAGAATTACCTTTTATAGATAAGATTACAAGGTGGCTTATTGGACACTTTCTTCAGATTTATGGATGAGAGAGAAGTACAGGAGGTTCAGATCATAGAGTGCAATGTTTAAGGCATGCGTTTGGCCGTATGCATGAGTCCTTAGCTGCTATGATACTTTTTTCTTTTGTGGGCTTTATCTAGCAAAGGAAGTATTTTTCTTCATGGACAATCTTTAACAGAAGTTTGGATTTTGCCAGTAGAATGGAAATTCTTGACCCTCAGCCAGTAAGAAACATAAACCAGAAACTGGGAGTTGAGGACTCCTTTTTTCTTATGCTCCCTTTCTAGTCCATGCATTTTCTCTGTCTGTCTGTCTGTCTATCTATCTGTCTCAACACCCAGCACAAAACTGGCCTGCAGATCATAGCTGGGAAGCCACTGGTACTGTAGTTGCCATGGTGGCACACACCTTTAATCCCAGCACTTGGGAGGCAGAGGCAGGTAGATCTCTGAGTTCTAGGCCAGCCTGGTCTACAGAGGGGGTTCCAGGACAGCCAATGCTATGCAGAGAAATTCTGCCTCAAAGACAAAAACAAAAACAAAACAAACCACACACAAAAAAGAAAAGGATTAAAAAAAAAAAAAGATTCTCATCCTTGTGCGTTGTGATTCCCCCACTTTTCTCTGTCTCTCCATTCTCCTGTTTTCAGATCACCTGAGCCATGTCTTGTGCTAGAGATATCTCAGGGGGGCAGATAGCCTCCCTGCCACTGCCAAGATCCCCAGCCCATCTTCCGTCCCCCTCCCTTGCTCATTCTGTCCCTTTGCACCTACAGAAGACAGGATGGGAGGCATGGATGACAGTCACAGAGAGAGGCAGCTATATCCCCCCACCCCCACATCAACAGAAAGCTTGACAGAGGCAGACCTCAGTGTTCATCTTTTGAGAACTCTTTCTTCCTGATGCTTTTCCAGTCTCCATCTTTGCTATCTATTGTGGGTGTGCTGGGGTAGGGCGGGTCTGCTCTTACCAAGTGACTTCCCTCTCTTTCAGTGGGGTGTTGTGAATCCATTTTCAGTGAGCTTTGCCCTTCAAACTTAACTGTTTAAAGTCATTAAATAAATTTAAAAACCTCTCCCCAAACTGTACTACTACAATTATCTAGCAAACAGAAGCCTCAACTTTAACTCCTGTTTTCTGATTTCTGTTAGAAGAATTAAAAATCTGTCTAACCAATTTGCCATTTCCTTACTTAAGGATCTAAACCACAGAATCTAATTCCTCCCTGCGTTAATGAGCAATCTGATAAAACCGAATGATAACCATTATATAATATTTAGGAAAAATCCATCATTATTAACCTTCCCTCCAGAAGAAATCTTGCTGTAAGCACGTTTTGCACCTTGTTAGGATCTTCAGGGTTTGTAATGAGCCAGTCTGCTTTAGGGCCAACATGTGTCCATGTCCCCAGGTTCAGTATAATGTGATTTTAAGTGGTCCTGTCATTAACCTTTGAAAAATGGAAGAAGTTGTAGAAAAATTAACAGAGAAAAATCTGTGCTATAGCAACCGCTGTTAGCAAAATCAGATTTCCTGCTGATAAATTATAGGAGTTTTTTTTTTTTCTTTTTCCAAGTTTTGGTTGTAGAAGGTAGGGGGAAGTCTGTACTTCACCACTTCTTCATTTCTCTGCTAATAAACATCTTGAGTTGTTTGTAAGCCCGGTGCTTGCTTTGTGCAGAGTGGCTCAGCCTCTCAGCCTCGCTTCTCTCCCCGTCCAGGTGGCGCCTATGAAGTGAAGCAGCATCGCTTCTTCCGCTCCTTAGACTGGAACAGTTTGCTGAGACAGAAGGCGGAATTTATTCCCCAACTGGAATCTGAGGATGACACAAGTTATTTTGATAGTACGTGCATTATCTGACATCCTTTGGCCTTTCCTAGATTTAAAAAAAAACATAGTCCATCTCCAACTTCACATTTTCCAATCTCGTACCTACAAAATTCTAGAAAGCTGTGTGTTATTCTGCTCCAGGTACTCATAGTATAGTCCTCTCTGTTAAACATAGAACCTCTCTGAGTAACCCAGACTGTTCCCAAACTTTCCTCCGCAGCTCGGTCAGAGAAGTATCATCACATGGAGACAGAGGAGGAAGATGACACAAACGATGAAGACTTCACTGTGGAGATAAGGCAGTTTTCTTCCTGTTCACACAGGTTCTCAAAAGTGAGTGAGACAGGGCATCTGCATGCAGAATCTTGGGGAGGCATCCAGTGGCTGGTACCCAGTTCAGCTGGACTAGGTTGTAAAAGCAACCGTCCTTTGTGGGGTGTGAGGTCTCCAGCACTTAAAACTCCCAGTTAGTTGGGGAAAATGGTCTCATAGTCTTGATAAGCAGTGGTTTCCACCCTATAGACTTTATAAGTTTGTAGTTGTTTTGAGGCAAAGACACCAATGCTTTGTCGTCTTTTATGATAGTTGTCACGTGGTGAACTTGCTTACCTGCCCCCCCATGGTTGAGCTGAGAGCTGGTCTGTGGAAGCTTTTGTCAGTGAGGAAGAACAGACATCACCGTGTGCAGAGATCCCCCCTAGTGTGACACAGTACAACACAGGAAGGATGCTCAGCTCTTTCCATGAGCCAGGGTTCTTGGGGGGAGGAGGAACACTTCGGTTTAAGATAAGAAAGAATTTTGATCAGTAATAGAGATTGTAACATATTGGAAAGGCAGTAGGAAGACCACTCTAGAATTTTAAAAATGTTAGAAGATAATAAAATTGATCATTGAGAGAGATCCCTTTTTATAAACTCAGGTAAGGGTTAAAAACAGACAAACCTGATTTTTTTTTTTTTTTTGGTAGGTTAGGAACCCAGGGATAATGGAAATAAACCTGAAGGGCACCCTACCTCCTTTCTGCTAGTCTCTCAGTTGCTACATCTTTGTGGTTGCCATGGCATTTTTGCATGATTCTTCCTTAGGAATTCTATAGCAATTCGTGATTTTGAAGCACTCTGTACATTTTCCTGAGTGATTACCCAAATGAATCTGCAAATCAGCTGGTGGTACCCCTCTCTGTTTAAGGGCCAACATAGGGGCAGGATTTCCCGGGAGACTTACAGCCAGTATGACCTGAAGCAAGCTTAACTAACATCCAATGGTTACTCAGAACATAACCCATCCTCTACCCTCTCAGAACCCCTCCTAAACAGTTTGCTTCTTTATTTTGGAAGGCATTTTATTTTTCCCAGCTCCTGTTCTTTAGCCTCAGCTTTTTCTAACTTTAGAGACAGGAGGAGGCCCCAGGCCCATTTCCATGAGAAGAGTAAATAGCTGGAGGGTAACAATTAGGTGTTCTCAATGTACTGGGCTTCCACAAGCCCATTTTTACCTCTTGTACTTCCTGTGAGACTGTGGTGATTCAGAAGTGGGCTAAAAGAGGCCTCTTTGCCTAAGCTGTAGTCTCCTGCACCAGCTGCTGCCTTACTGATTTGTAAGCCAAAGGTACCTGTTAGGTCCCTCCTGCAGAATCAACCCCACTCTAAGCCCAAAAACACATCATCTTTTCCTCTACTCACACTGAACCTCAACTCCTGACCGGTGGCCATCAAACACTTTATCTTTTCTCTATCGTTTTCTCTGTCTGGTTACTTTTTGAGCCTGAAGCCAGTCTGAGATGTACATTGATCCCGAAGCCATGAAACCGAGCGCATCTACGATTCTTCTGTGTAGATACAAAGTCCTTGAGCTGTGGTGAAAGGAGATGGTCAGTTCAGCTCCCCACTGGGAAAGAATGTGTCTCCATACCTTGGCCCTTCATTCTCTGGTGGCATGCACACAGCATTGTTAGCGTTTCCACAACGTGGCCCCAGTTCACACCTTTTGGTTTGGTTTTGTTTTTTAGAGACAGGGTTTCTCTGTGTAGCCCTAACTATCCTGGAACTCACTCTGTAGACCAGGCTGGCCTCAAACTCAGAAATCCGCCTGCCTCTACTTCCTAAGTGCTAGGCTGAAAGGTGTGTGCCACCATGTGTGGGCCCGCCAATTCCCACTTTTACTTCTATAGTCCAGTTTTTGTTGTTTTTATTTTTTCCCTAAGACTTGTACTTTTTTTGTTGTTTTGTTTTGGTTTTTTTTTGTGAATAAAGAGATTTATTCTTTTGCATAATAAAACATAAAGTCCAAAATAAATATCTGCTTATAATAATGCTTATTATCAATATGTAAATATCTTGTACTTTTTCTGACAAGCTCTTTTTAGATGTAGTTCATAAGCAATAGTTATTTGCCCCGCAGGTTTTCAGCAGTATAGATCGAATAACTCAAAATTCAGGAGAAGACAAAGATGATTCCGAGGACAAGACCAAAAGCACAACTTTGCCATCCACGGAGACCCTCAGCTGGAGTTCCGAATACTCTGAAATGTACGTGAGAAGCCTCCCCAGGGCCCTCATAAACAGTGAACTTTGGGGCAGGGCATCTGAGACCCACCTCCAGAGTTCCTGCTCCAGTAGATCTTGGGCTGACCTTCCATGTCCTCTGCTTGTCCTGACACTAGGTATCGAATCATAAGAGCCATTGCTCTAGACATACGTTTGTTAGGATTATCCAGCTTCCCTTTTAACCTGGTTTCCTCAAACTGATACCCTTAATTGTTTCCTGGAGGTGGAGGAGTGACTTGCTCTTGTTTTTAATTAAGGCAACAGTTATCGACATCCAACTCTTCAGATACTGAAAGCAACAGATGCAAACTCAGCTCTGGCCTGCTTCCCAAGCTGGCTATCTCGACAGAAGGAGAACAAGATGAGGCTGTCCCTTGCTCTGGGGACCCCAGAGAGGAGCCAGAGAAACCTGTTCTTCCTCCTGAGGAGTGTACTCAGGAGGAGCCTGAGGTCACCACTCCAGCCAGCACCATCAGCAGTTCCACACTGTCAGGTAAGTGTGGCTATACTTGTTCTGCTCGGACACCATCCTGTCAAGTGGTTCTACAGACTCAATGAGTCCCAGGCTTTACACGACTATCAGGACAAGTGTTCGCTCTCCTCCTAGACTTCTTCCGTGGTCCCACTTCTTTAGGGAAAAACTCCTAAGAACTCGGGTCAGCTATCTCAGCTACATCCTCAGTGCCAAGCCTTACAGCAAACTGACCTGGCTTCAGTTGGACCTTGGGGACACTTAACACTGCCTGCTTCAGTAGGGTCCTCTGGTGACAGGCAGAGCCTGCCAAAGGAGCATGTCCTTGGCTGCTGATGCAAAGACACAGCTTGTAGAATTGCATCCAACTTAGAATGAGGGACAGTGTCCCATGGACCAACCATCACAGTTACCCTTGAAAATGGTTCCAGCCATCTACATGATGAACTGTGGGCTCTCCCTCCAGCCCTGAGCTGCATGGTAGCATCGTTGAAGGAGTTAGCTCCTGTTATCCAGTCATGTACCAGACACACCATGTTGTATAGTCCCTTGCCACTATCCTCACACCGGGGTAGCAAAGTGCTTACATGGTGAGGGTCACAGGATATGTGTCAGGGGAGCCAGAAGTCTCACCATTGTCTCCCATGGTGTCTGACTGTATCTAAAGTCCTGCCGGCACAGAGTTGATACTTCCCAGGCTGTGGCAAGCGGAGTCAGACATTACTGAAGCTTCTCTGCCTGCTGGGATGAGAGGTCTGGTGTCTGGGCTTCTCTTTGAAGGCACTTCTGTACCTTTGTGTGAAGTAAGCTTCCTGTCAATAGGAACATGGTCTTCAATGCATTTAAAGCCCTTAATACCCCATCATCCATTCCTGGCCCTTAACAGTAGAGGTGTTTTCCTTACACAACCAGACTTCGACCTGTTCCCTAAGCATACTCCGTTTAGGTACACTTACAACATTAGTTGGTTTATAAAGGTTGTGAAACAGCATCTCCTTCTGCAAAGTGTGGGCTTATACTTTTTTTTTTCTTTTTTTAAGCAAAAAGTGGTTCTGACTTACAGTTATTATAGAGAATGTTTTCATTATGCCATATTTGGTATGCTATACTGATAAACATAAAGGATTCTAACTGTTCCATCCACATTCTTAAACTTAATGTTCACAGTGAAAGATTTGTTGTGTTTTTTAAACCATATTTTTAAAAATCTTTCAGGTGAGATTCCAGCCTCCCTAAAATGTTTGGATCTGGGGAGCTTCACACATGCTTATAATTGACATGGGACAATAATACCAACTTTTCTTTTTCTCTCTCTATCCTTCAGTTCTGTTTTCATGCTGGGTAGCCCGACTTTTTCTAACTATGAAGCCAGGATAATAGTGTTGTAAAATAGTACAAGGACATCATATTACTCTAAGGTTCCTGGCCATACTTACCTTGACTTTTCATAGCAAATATAGGGGCTCGGTATTGTATATTCCTGGTTGTAGGGGATCTCTGTCTGGCTCTTAGTTGCCTTAACCTGAATATAGAGTCTATTCAACGCCATTGAAAAGGTCTTGTTTACCATATCTCAGTGCCCTACTCAGGACTCCTCCTACTCAGAGAGGTAGGAGGTGAAGGGAGGGAGGGAGGGAGGGTGGGAGGGAGGGGGAGCAATGTCTAAGTCCTTGATTGATTGCTTTCATAATTAAAAATACCTGCCGAGGTCCTGCCATGCACTTTGATTAATAGAGCCAACCCAGCCTTTCTCAATCTGTCTCCCACACACACATACTAAAAAGTAATCAAAGACCTTGGGGGCTTCGTAGGATAGAGGGATGAGTTGATTTGCTTACAGCCAAGGGTAATTAAGGAACCTGAAAAGCACGGCTGTGGTAAAATTAAATTTGTTGAGGTTTATATTGCTCCACCATCAAAAGGAAGGAACCCTTGACATTTAAAGAACATTAAGGTGACATTACGTGCCATTGGCAGAAAGAGGCCCTTGCTCATGCGCAGTGCTGTACAATGAGGTAGTAGAGGAAGGAAGCAAGAAAGATGAGGGAAGGAAGTAAACACTGTGCCTCCATCCTGACATTTGGGAAAACACAAGTTGGTGTCTGTTTCGTTTTTCTCGACTACCTTGTGCTTGAATCCTCGAGAAGTAAAAGTTGTGAAACCATAGCTGCAATGCTCAAACGCTTCCAACAAATTACTCACTGTAAAGAGACTCTGCTGTTTGTTTGCCCTTTTTCCTTTTCCCTTCTCCTCCTGAACCAACTCAGAAAGGAAGTGAGTCATCTAAAGCCAAAATTCAGTGTAGAGAGTTGAAACAGCCTTGATCCTGTCCTTCACTTACTGCTTTGAGTGAACAGAACAGATGCACTAGTAGATGAAAAGGGTTTTCCCAAGAAGTGAAAGGCTGTTGATACCTACCTTAAGATTTCCTTATCTGTTGGCCCAATGGGTATGGTAATAATTAATTAATTAATTAATAAAAAAGCAACAGTGGGGTAGCTACTCACCACAGTGGTTTATGATCCTGAATGAAAGACACACAGCCTTTATATTAATATGCCTCAAATAGCACAATAGCTGGGCCACTGCCTAACCTCCTAATGATTAATTCACCTCCTGCCAATAATCCAAATTATTACTTACTAAACTCTATATTCTATCTTGGCTGTTCTAGACCCAGTTAGACAGTCTTCTAGACCATGCTGTCCTGCACCTTCACATGGTGGCTATGCCTCTCTGTCCTCCACTCTCCTCAGGCATGGCGTCTGTCCTCTTCTCTACACTCTTTATCTCCTTCTTTCTCCCCCTGTTCCCAGTCCCAAGCCCAGCAAATCCTAAAATCTTGTCTCTGTCTGCCCTGCCCAGCTATTGGCTGTCAGCCAATAGCTTTATTTACCTATCAGAACCAACAGGGGGCAGGTTCCCAGAAGCTATATGAAGATCCTCTGGTATAGTTTTTGGGGAAACATAATTAGCATTCGTAATACAAGCAAATACAGGTGGGTATTACTGTGGAAGCTCAAGGATCTTTCCTATTCGCACAGTGCAGTACTAAGTATATACATCTACACCCATAGACAGACCCAACTGGTATGCCCCTTCACAGACTAGGGCCAGACAAGGGCTGTGCAGTCAAGTGGTATGTGTGTCATAATACGTTCGTTTAGGCCAGCTCTTGCCTAGGCAGAGAATGTTGTGTGGTCAGCATTTTAAGACGCGCTAGCTAGTCATTCGGAAGATTACTTGCAATGGTATTACATACCATACCTGCTCTATAGAGCTATGATAATAACATTATTGAGTTTCATGAGCAAGACGCTTAGAATATAAAATTATAGAATTTATGTTTTATCTCAAAGGATAGAATCTAAGATATTCGTGAGATCTGGACAGGAAAAAATAAAAAAGTGTTTACTGGTGATTTTAAAACCAGAAGCCATTTAGCTTGGTGAGTAAAGAGGAATTAGGAACATGAATCACTGCTCAGTATGTTTCTGAGGGACTCATGATTCTCTTCCTGAGAATTCTCTTCCTGTCCGCCTCCGTAGTTCTCCATGTCCCCACCTTCCTTCATGTTTCTATTCTCAGGGGAAAATCCTAATGTGTTAACATAAAAATAACTCCACTGTACATTAGGGGCTGATAAACTGGCAAAGGTATGTCTTAGAGAAGGAGGAGCAGGATGTCATGGAGGACCAGCACATGACAGAGAAGGTGGAGCAGGATGTCATGGAGGACCAGCACATGACAGTCTAGATTAGAAGCCCGGAAGATGGACTTTGCTACTGAGTAACGTCTTGTGTCTTTTCCTTTGAAACTTACAAAGAGCTTGGAGTGAAATCAGGCATGGAAGGAATCAGAGATGTTTTGATACGTAGCTGGCCCGTGGTATCTTAGGAACTTGGGAGGAAGTGACACAGACACGGCCTACCGTGCGATTAAATGGTGTCTCCATGTCAAAAAGATCAACAACATTCATGTTAATCACTGGTATCAGTATGAGGGGGAGGCTTTTGGGTTTATAAGATGGACTTTTTGAAGGCCCAGGAGAGGAGATTCTCAGGGGGTTCTGAAATACAGGTGACAGGAAGTTAGTCTCCTGATTGAACGGAGTCATTAGAAACTTTACCTGACTGTGCACAGGAGAATGAAGCCTGGGCAGGTAGCTCCTCCATCTTTTCCTCCTTCACAGGATCTCTCTCAAGCCAGTTGTTTCTCACATTCATCCCGAGACGTTTGGACCTAGGAGACACGCAGGAGTATCTCCCACAGTTTGTCCGCCTTTTTCTCTGTCTTCCTGTCTCCACCTCTCCTATCCTAACTTTTCCCGAATGTGTTTATTCCTTCTTCTTTGTACAGTTGGCAGTTTTTCAGAGCACTTGGATCAGATAAATGGGCGAAGCGAGTGTGTCGACAGTACAGATAATTCCTCAAAGCCATCCAGTGAACCTTCTTCTCACATGGCACGGCAGCGATTAGAAAGCACAGAGAAAAAGAAAATTTCGGGGAAAGTCACAAAGTCCCTCTCAGCCAGTGCTCTGTCCCTCATGATTCCAGGAGGTAGAAAGATATCAACTCGCATGAAATTGTGTGATTTGTGCATGTGCTTCCTTCCCTCCTCCCCCCAATCTGGAATGCTGATTGAAATGCAAAACTGCATGATGCAATCACCAGTGGGATCCCAGGACAGCCCTCAAGAGCTGCTGCCTACACACCTGTGAATTTCCCCTCCAGGACCTCTGGGGTAGCCAGAGAGCATGTGCATCTCCGTCTCAGTTTACATTCTGTATCTGGAGAAGGAGGCTCTTGATGTTTCTTTCCCATGAAGGCGGGTTTCATTTGTTTTCTTGAAGCCTTTTCTCCCCACGAGCTAAACAATGAATTTCCCTCCCTGGGATAATTCTTCTGTAGACCGCGTACTGTGTATGTACTTTACAGAGCTGTTTATAGCCATGTGTTGGAAGGCTAGGTATGCTTTACTTCATCTAATTAATGAGGAAACACACACAGAATGTAAGCTTTACATTTCTGGAGATGGCAGAGACTTTCTTCACAGGAGGTAGTGAAATGAGATGTTTTCCAAATCTTGTGGACTGAGCTTCGCTTTCTTTGCTAATCTCTGTCCTGTTTTTGGAAAATGCAGACTTAATTATGCTTTTGTTGGATTACTGTGTTTTCCTACAACTTAGTTTGCATCTACTGATCAACAAGTCTGGAGTAATTCCCCTGGCAGAGATGAAATATATACACTGGTGGTCACGATATCATTCAGAGGTGGGGGCAGGACCGGAAATTGAATATTTATAGATGACATGTACTGGGAAGAATTCAAATTTATAACATATCAAAGAGATTACCTAATTTTTATAATTTTATTTGTGCAAAATAAAAAACTTATACGGCAGTATGTAAATTCCTTTGCTAGGAAACATCCCATTGAGTTCCATAAAGCATACACTTCCTATCTTTGTTGTCTGCATGGTCATGCATGCTTCAAAGGTGCCCCCAGTACCCATGTGTATCAGTTCAGTGTGGGCTAGTCCATCTGTACAAGCAGGTAAAGTAGCCTGCATTGTGGAAAAAAGGGAGAGTTACACCATTTGTAGAAGAAAGGGAGACCCACTGAGTGGTTAAGAACAGGAATCCTATCCTTCCCACAGTTTGAATTTTAAGCATCTGTCCTGTCTTCCATTCACATGTCATGAAGGTCCTCATCTCTTTTTTACCTGATCTTTGGATTAGACAGAAAAGTAAGTCAGTGTGGCACATGGAGTCAAAGTAAAAGAACACTTACAGTGATACACTTAGCTTTCCTCTTGTTTGGGCAACAGAAGACCTAGAACATAGGTAGTATAGATTCGTTTACCTTCCAGTGACCACATTGGGTCTTGCTATGCCCTTGTGAGTCTCCAGTATTACCAGGCACCTTGTTGCCTTGTTCCTTGGAACACACACACACACACACACACACACACACTTACTTCATGATTTGGCTCTGTCTACTATAATGTAACACGCAGATAAGTTATAAACAGTAGATCTGTTGTTCTTGGCTGAGATACCCATAATAAAGGCCTTAGCAGATACAATGTCTTGTTTCACATAGACAGCATATCTTAAAGGTTCCAGAAACACAGTAACCCTATCACCAGAGGCAGAACCCTCATAGTCTAATTATTTTCCAAATACTTCTCTGAATATTGTTACCTTGGTGGTTAGGTTTCAGCTTTGAAGCACTGGGGAATACAAATGTTTGCTTTTGCAACAGAGTAGAGAATGGTATTTGGGGATGTGAGCTGATTTGCTCTTAACACATGTATCTGACCTTCCTTACCCTTAAAGAAACATTGTTCTTTGAAGCTACTGTGTGAAGAGGAACAACTGTAACCATAGTCCTTCTTTCATAGTTAAGTTTCTCAATTGAAATAGTTAATATGTTCTAGCTCAGTAATGTTACAAAGCAGCTGGTATTTGGTCATTGTTTCCCTGGCCTTGTGTGATTGGAGAGTCATGTTAAATTGTTTAAGAGTCATGTTTTTTTTTTTTTATAAAGATTTATTTATTTATTATATATGAATACACTGTAGCTGTCTTCAGACACACCAGAAGAGGGCATCAGGTCTCATTATAGATGGTTGTGAGCCACCATGTGGTTGCTGGGATTTGAACTCAGGACCTCTGGAAGTGCAGTCAGTGCTCTTAACCACTGAGCCATCTCTCCAGCCCAAGAGTCATGTTAAATTGAAGAAGAGTATTTCTCATTATATACTTAGTCTACTCTTCGAAAGATACACTATAAACACATGCATCTATAAACTACTTATTTCACTGAAATAACTTAAAGACATTATAACATCATAACCAGAAACATCTTTGTGTAGCAAAGCTAAAAGTTCTTAATTATAGAGTATTGATTGAAACATTAGTTAAACCTGAAACACTTCTGATATCCCCTCGTCAGGCTTGAGTTTCGCATCCATACCAGTTACCAATAAAAGCATTTTCTGCATTAGTTCTCATTTTGCTGTTAGAAACCAAGGGACTTGTTTATGACCATTCTTTGTTTTCCTGGTTCTGGTGGGGCTCCCCATGGGAATAGTGGCTGTGGCCCAGATCCACTTTGATGCTGGCTTCTTTGTTGCAGATATGTTTGCTGTATCTCCATTGGGAAGTCCAATGTCCCCACACTCCCTGTCTTCAGACCCTTCTTCTTCGAGGGATTCCTCTCCCAGCCGAGATTCTTCTGCAGCATCTGCCAGTCCCCATCAGCCCATCGTGATCCACAGTTCAGGAAAAAACTATGGATTTACTATCCGAGCCATCCGCGTGTACGTGGGGGACAGTGACATCTACACGGTACACCATATCGTCTGGGTGAGAACAGCATCCTTCTTGTCAGCTTAAGTTCCCAAGCAGCCTGGAGTGCATGCCTGCTGACTGAAGCATAGTTTGATCCTGATGTGTTTTCTGTTTCTGTGGCACTTGGGACCCATTTTATTTCTCTTTTAATATCCCTGTCTCTATTTCTGTGGTTGAATTGGGTATAACCCACACTAGTCATTTTTCCTAACTCTGCCCAGGCTACGTAATTGCTCGCCCATTCTTTTGTACCAATCTAGTGAACATAAAGACCACCCTCTTTGTATCCCTATATTGTCCTTTAATATATAACAGTTATGTGTATGTCTGAGTACAATAGGCCAGAGGTGCTATTTAACCCAGAGCTGAAGTGAAGGGACAATTGTGAACGACCTAGCATGGGTTCTGGGAATTGAGTTCAGATCCTCTGTAAGAGAACTCTGGCGCCAGCTCTCTGGTCCCCATCCTTTGCAGTTTTTTTTCTTGCTTTTCAAAAATTACATTCTCGCTGACTTGAGATTTTTTTTTATTTAAGGAAACATGGAAATTCTCCTATTTTAGAACAATATCAGAAAAGGAGCCATGCTTTTTTGAGTCCGTATTAGGAGCTTAGGATTATTCCTAAAGTGACTCCAGGTATCCTGACAGAAGAAACAATAGGCGTCAAGGTTGTAATTTATTGGTTTATGAATTTGTACTCTCCTCTTGGACTGCAGAACGTAGAAGAAGGAAGTCCTGCATACCAGGCAGGACTGAAGGCTGGGGATCTGATCACACACATCAATGGAGAGCCGGTTCATGGACTCGTCCACACGGAAGTTATCGAGCTCCTGCTGAAGGTACTGTCTTCCTATGTCCTGGCCATGCAGAGGGAGCAGTAATGCCAAGGAGTCAGCACTATGAGATCAGCTTCTCCGTGGCATGCCTGGCTCCATAGTCAGGCCCACCACTGGAAAGAATGGGGTGGTCAGAAGCCTGACGGAAAGCAAAGCTATTATGACCTCTCTGGTTTCATGCTGTGAGAAGGTGTCCTTGAACCTACACTCTAACTACCTACTTCTGCTTCTCACGACCATCCTACAGAACAAGAACTCTCTTTTTTCATATGCCTCATGTAGTAGATTCCATTTGGGACTTACCAGTCCTAAGGGTGAACATCAGTAGATGTTATTCTAGTATAGGAGGAGACAAAGTACTGTGTAACTGTGAAGGCAGGTGTAAAGGTTCTAGGAATTGGCACTCCTTTGAAAGATGGAACTTTAGATGTATTTACATTTGCCCTAAATGATTAGTGGAAGAATGGTCCGAGCAGTTTCAGGGCTCCTGCCCCTCCCTCTCCTTCATATGCCTAAGTTAAGTTTCCATGGGGGATCATTTCCTACTTAAAAGGAGCATCAGATAGAGCCTGTGGCACCCGATCCCAGAGAGCACGGATATAAATGGAAAGCGGTGCACATTTATCCTCTCGGGCAAGCCTTTGTGATTCTTGATTTGCCTCGTGCTAACCCCAGAATGTAAAGTCGAAGATACAAAGATAGCTGAACTTAAATTGGATTTTAAATTTTTCTTAGGAAAAAGCCTGCTTTATCTGGGATGAGAATCACAGTCTGTCCTCACACAATTTTTGGATAACCTCTTATTTCATGACCAGCTAGAGAGATTTGAGCAGCAGCAACAACAACAAACCTCATTAGGGAGACACAGGATAGATGTGTACAACTGTAAGCTCCTATGCATGGATTAAATAACATTTGAGACATCATAAATATTGTTGATACAGAGACTAAGGGATGTTCTTTGCTCTCGGAGAGTACAGGACATGTATATGAGAAAAAAACAACTTAATTATCCCAGGCTGAAGCAGAGAAGGAACATTGTGCTTCTAGAGAGAACATTCTAAGTAGGGAGAGGCATGCCAGGGGAGTGACAGTGACGTGGAACTTAAAAGAAGGAATTTGAAGGCACTGGCAGAAAACTGGGTGTACAAGTCTTTCAAATACAGGTGCATTTAAATGCCTGACTTCCCTCCCTCCCCTACCCCTCGTAATTCCATCCAAGGACCAATTTTCAAAGGGCTTAGGGTCTAAGGGTCCAAAATCAGTAGTCACTGCATTCCAAAGGTCCAGGGAGAGCTAGTGGATAGAAAGTTATTCCTCCTCATTAACTCATATTAATTAAAAATTGGCCTTCAATGTAGGGCTCAGCGAGTTTATAGAGTTAAAATGAATCACAGCATTCTCCTTTATATCCCAATGTGACAACAGGAAGACAGATCACACAGTGACATCAGGTTTGAGAACTTAGTTCTACACAGCAACCCTTCCTTTGTGAGTTCTACCTAACTAGGGAGGGATAACACTCCCAGTTAAGCATCCCAGAGATGGGAGGCTAGGAACTGCTGAGTTTTGAGATTCCTGGGCTATGAAAGTCTCCTGCAACTGTCTTAGACTACCTAGGACAGACATCAAGAAGGAACACAGGTTTCCAAGTCTCAATTGCCACTTCACCCACAGTCTGTGATGGATGAGAGCCTCAAATGACTGTGGAGAGTTTGTCTCCTGTGTCTTTCAGTTTTGTGGGGACTGTTGAGAACAGCGGACAAAGAAAGTCACGATCTCCAAAGTCCCTGGCTCACTGTGTGTAACCTTTGGAGCTGGAGAATAATTCTCTCAGTGGCCAGCCATCCTACTGATGCCTTAGATCAATGATATTTCTCAAGCAAATTTTTGTTTGTTTTGTTTGTTTGTTTTTCTGTGTAACCTTGGCTGTCCTAGAACTCACCCTATAGATCAGGCTGGCCTCAAACTCAAGAGGCCCCTGCCTCTGCCTCCCAGAGAGTTGAGATTAAAGGCATGTGCCACCACCGCCTGGCAAGCTAAAGGAACTATAAGTTATAAATGCTAATTGCCTTAGTTTGCTTCCTACTGCCATGATAAAGACTGTGGTCAGAAGCTACTTGGAGATGAAAGGTTCTATTTTTGTCTTAAAACTTATAGTCAGTCCATCATGAGGAGATGTAAGGGCAAGAGCCTGGAAGCAGGGACTGAAACTGAGGCCATGGAGGAACACTGCTTCCTCAGTCTTTGTTCCCATATGCCCCAAGACCATCTCCCTGTGGGTGGTACTGTCACCACTAGGCTCTGCCCTCCTACATCAATGAAAACTCAAGAACACCTCCCACAGGACAGTCAGATGAGGGGCATTTTCTCAATGTAGGGTTTCTCTTCCTAAATTACCCTAGTTTTTGTCAAATTGATTAAAAATTTTAACTAACTAGCACAGATATAAATAAATAACTTATATACATATATATGTATATATGTATATATATATTTATATCTGTGCTAGTTAATTATACATACATATGTATATAATATATACCATATTATATATACATGTATATATCAACATAGAAATATACATACTTATGTATTTTTATATAATATATATATTGTACTCTTCATAATAGTAGTGTTTTATATGCAAAATAGCTCCTGCCACAGCCTGTATTTATTTCATAACATACAGATGTTTATGGAAAGAGAAAAAAAATAAGCTAAATTTATGTTGTATCTTAACATGATTCTGGATTTCTAAACCTCTCTTCTTGCTTCTGTGAGACTGTGTATGTAGTTCTCCTCCCCCTAGAAAGGTTTTTGGAAATGTCTTAGAGAAGCAGCTGGCCTTCTGTGTGAACTTTTACCTCACCTTGTGACTGTGATCACCTCCTACAACCTACAGCTTCATCACAGGGTACAGTCACTGTGGGCCATTGAAAGGGTGCAAGCATGATAGGGTGGACCATGCTGTGGCACCTTCTGGAAGCTGTAGAATCCTCTGGCTTCCATTTAAGGCATAGATCCTGCCTCTGGTTCATAAAGGAAGCACTCAAGAACAGTAACTAGTGTAACAAGACAAAGAAAATGCAAGGGGTTTAATTATCGCCCTGGTGACCTGTGTAATCATGCAGCTTTCTTCCAAACTTAAGCAGCAATTCTTGAACAAAGAGTATAACGTGGCCAGCGTTGGCAGTGGGCTTCTACACGCCATGTCTGGCTTCACATTGGGGTGGCAGCTCTGTTCAGTATTCCTGCCTGTCATTCCCATGGTCTTTCATACTTGCTTAGTATTTACAGCATCTTATGGCATCCTTAGGAAACAGTGGTAAGATCACTAGTGGGGCTGTGTGTCCATGTGTAGAAGCACACGAACTCCATACATCTATCTTGTGGGTTGAGAACACCGAGAACACTTTCTACATCCCATTGCTGCATGTTTAGTCTCATTTTTCCTTACAGCATTGAAGTAGACCTGCTGTGGAAGCTTCTACTCACAAGTACAGGGAGGTGGGTCCAACAGCAGTCAGCAGTGTAGACAGACTCCTGGGATGAGTGGATGGTCAGCTCTCTCATACCTTCCCTTCCAGGAGAGTTTGATCATGGGACAGCATCAGTCTTTCAAAAGAACTTCATGGTCTTCCTTTTACTCTTCCATCACGGATGGAGACTGTAATGTCCCAATTTTCAGCCCTTGCTCAAATAACATGCCAGGCTTAACCCCTGCAATTAGGAAACTTTCCACTCAGCCTTATTGCTTTGTTTAAATTCTTGGTGCTTAACAGAAACTCTAGGCCTCACCAGCACTTGGTTGAGGAACTTCAAGAACTCTGGGAGCTTCTCAATTATGGGGTAGGGACAATCAAGTGGTATGACTGTCATCCTTCCATATTTCCTTGTATTTCCAGAGTTTTGGGCTAAATACAGCAAGAGTCATCTAAAACACAATACCTAATGAGGAGCTGAGGTTAAAATTCACTTGGTAAAGTACTTGCCTTGCAAGCATGGGGACTTGAGTTTGATCCTCTAGAACAATGGTCCTCAGCCTTCCTAATGCTGTGACCCTTTATTACAGTTCCTCATGTGGTGGTGGCCCCCACATAAAAGTATTTCATTGCTACTCCATAACAGTAATTTTGCTACTGTTATGAATCCTAATGTAAATATCTGATTTGCAGATATCTGATAATGTGAAATTTGCAGATATGTGATAATGTGGCCCACAGAATGAGAGCCACTACTCTACTCATATGGGTGCAGACACCTAAAAGCAGAGACAGGAGTGTCTCTGGCTTTGCTGGCCAGCCAGGTTAGCCTACTTGGTGAGTTCCATATCATGTATCAGGAAAGAAGGTAGACAGCACCAGAGAACAGCCAGCTAAGGATGTCTTCTGACCTCACATGCTTGCACATAGACACACACACACACACAAATCCTACACAACACTCATACACATATATAGCTAATGAAGCAAGAGTACTTGGCACCCACCAGGCTCTGCTGGGTTTTGCACAAATTCATGTGACCCCCAGTTCTTCTCTGAGGCAGATGCTATAAATAGAAGTGCCCCCATTTTCCAGACACACAAACCAAAGTAGAGTGACATGAGTAAAGCAGCCACAACCATCTGCTAGGAGGATGATTTCAACCCAGTGTGAGTCAGAGGCTGTGCTTTCAATGCCTACCACACACTCCTTCAACACATGCATCTAATTACCAGTACCTCTAGTCTAATGCTCACAGCAGGCCTAGCAACACCAGGCTATAATCAAAGTGCTAAACATAAGAAACAGACTGTAAACATGACAGAAGTTCCAAAGAAGGAAAGACTACCAGCATGCACCAAAAAATCTCCAGAGAACAGGGGGTTAACCTGTGCAGGCCTTAAAAGACAGTTGGAGAGTTAGTACATGGCAAAGTAGATTTGGATAGCTCCAGCAACATGAATAGAAGTGCAAATGTGAGGCGGGTCTCAGGTGTTGTGACGTACACAGTGAGCCTGGTAGGTTGAAGCCTTGGTTCATGTTGGAGTAAAGTGTGCAAGCAGGCTGGAGCTAGGGTGGAGGATGAGAGTCAGGCCACATCACAAGGGATGCCAGAAGAAAGATATCCTACCCCAACTGAGCTTTACAAAGAAGATCAGACAGAAACAGTGGTCCTTAGTTTCCTAAGGCCAAATAATAAACTGACGAACCCAGACTGAGACCTTGAAGGTACTCAGTTCAGCCCACTTAAAATTCCTTCCCTCCCACTGTGCACTAATCATGGAAAGACTTGCAAGTAAAAGTGAATTAACCAGACATCTAGTAGTCTGCTTCCCTGGTTCTGTTGTGGTTGCTGTTGTTTTTCAAACAGGTATCACAGAATTTCTCTGAGTTCTCCCATGCCTCAGGTTCCTTGTAGCTCTTGCTGTAGCTAGGTGGATCCACTAGGTGGCAGGCTTTGCAAATAGCACCCAATAGTTTTTAATTTACTGTTTCTATTGATGTTTCTGATTAATATTTGCATGATGCATCTTGTACATTTCTATTACAGGAGCTGTCTTTGGTGTATGTATATCATTCTGACAAATTTCTTTTTGAAAAGTCATAGGTAGTAACATAAAGTAGGTTTAGTTTTTGTTGAAGGAGGCATTTATTCAGAGCCTCACGATGTGCTGAGTCAGCGGGCCCTGCTTCTCTCTATTTTCTAATGAGAAACACTCATAATTGTACTCTATTTGTCTTACACAATTTTATCATGCGTATGCCTCCTTCATTTCTCAGTGATCTAATTCTCTGAGCATGTTCCACATGGCCGGTGATGGTTTGCGGACCACCACTGGGATGAACACAAGCCAAACACTAGAGAGAGAGAGAGGACCAGGCAACTGATGCTCATGTGGATCAAGTTAGGAAGGAGGAGCACTGGGGGGATGAAGGACAGAGTAGCTAGGCTTTGATGGTTCCATTTTCCATCTTGTTCTCTGAGAACAAGAATCTCAGGGTCCTTGAAACTGTTATCATTATCTGACAATGACAGTCCTTTCTCACCTCAGTAGTGACCCAACCCTCGGATCTGATTATAAGAATAAAGACTATACATGGAAATGGCTTTAAAACTAAATTGTATTTTTAAAACACCAGGTGGCATCGTTAGCCTCCTACAAAGATATGAAAGTCTGAGCCAGGTGTGATGGGACATAACCATCATTCTAGCCCTCCAGTGGCTGACAAGGAAGGACTGACACAAATTTGAGGCCAATGTGGGGCTACCTTGTGAGTTCTAGGCCAGCCTGATCTACAGTGTTTGACTGTGCTTTTAAAAAAAAATGGGGGGGGGCAGTGTTGAGATGCATTTGAATACAGGCTCTGGTGGCTCATGGGATAAGTCAACCCTAGTGATCATATGGAGGTATGTGTGTACTCAGTATAGGAAAGTGGAAAAGAACACCCATGAAGGATGAGTCCCAGCTGCCTTGTTGCCCCTTTCATCCATCACAGGGGACACGGGCAGGTGGTTATAATGTCACTGTAGCATCATGGGTTCAATTTATGAAGATCTCCTTCTAAGAATCTTCAGTACTGAATTTTCCATTTGGTGAAAAATAGACCAACCTCTCCCATTAAAGTAAGTGTAAACGTTTTAAAGTTCTGCATCTACATGGAAGACACACGACATGCATCTACATGGAAGACACACGACATGCATCTACATGGAAGACACACGACATGCATCTACATGGAAGACACACGACATATCTTTCTGTTGGAATTCAGACCCCGTCTACCTACAATATTTTTGCAAATCTATTATTAGGTGGGAGATTATACTTCTAAAATGATATGTGAAGAGCTATGAAGGCACTAATAAAACACTGTGTCTTTTCAATAATAAGCCAGAGGTAAAATATGAACAAAGAGCTCCCTGAAGGTGGTCAACCTGTGGGTCATAACCCCCTGGGGTTTGCCAACTAGATATCCTGCATATCAGATGTTTACATTAGTGTCCCTAAGGGTAGCAAAATTATAGTTTTGAAGTAGCAGTGAAATAATTTTATGCTTGGGGGTCACCATCACTGTATCAAAGGGTCACAGCCTTGGAAAGGTTGAGAACCACTGCCCTAAAGAAACATAAATAACTAATGAACCATCAACTCAGAGAACTGAAACTCAGAAATGAATAATAGTGAGTAGACACCGGTAGGCAACCAAGACAAAGCATGACCTTAGAGAATCTCCAGTGAGAGGTTTTCAGACATATAAGATGGAAAATAGAGAGCCACAGATATGACATTAAAATTGTTGATAAGATATGCATATATTTATACATGCTCAAAGAAAGACTAGTATGCTCTAGGGATGATATAGCTTTGTAATTTAATGCCAGGGTGTTGCTTAGCATGCACTGAGGCCCTCAGTCTGATCCTCACACTTCCTACTCAGAAACAATTAAAACCCAGCAGGAAACAGATTGAAATATCATCAGTTGTAGCTTAGTGGAGATTTCAGTGATTTTTTTTCTTTTACTTATGCTTCCCATTTTTTTTCTTATAATAGCATGAGATACTTCCCAATCAGGGGAAAGAAGGTAGATATCAGCCAAGCAGAGATCTGCTTTCCCAGTCTCTGTTCCCACAACAGTTACCTTCCCATTGCTCAGTATGGCTTAGAACTTAGCGTCTAGGAAATCATCCTGGTGTTTTAAAAAGCCCTTATTCTTGGGCTACTTCTCATTTCAAGTTTATCATAGCCACCTGACTTTGAAAGACTGTATTCATTCCCTGGCTGTTATGACATGTAAGAAGAGATTGTAGGTACCAGTCTCTGCCCACCTGACCCGGCACCCCTGGGCCTGGCTGTATTCACCTACATTTCTAGGACCTGCCAAGTAACCCCACCCCGCCAAGGTGAAGTGAAAGGACTCAGAAGCCCACCAGGAATTATGTCGCTGTGCATGACCTGGTTAGAGAGCTTTCCCCGTGGGCTGGCACATAACTCCCCAGCTCTGCAAGGTGACAGGTTTTATGACAATAAGAGAGGAACCTTCTAACATCATTACAAATAAAAGTCTCATTCGGTTCTGTCGCCCTATGATTTCTAGGTCAAAGAAAAACATGAAACAGAGAAAGAAGGAAAATATATCAAGCAAGACCAGACAGCTCCCGGGCACATTTATATTTAATACATATGGATGAAGATAGCTGTTATTTATAGAGTCCTTTCCATGTGTCACTTGATGCTAAAGGCTTTGCAAACTCTCATTTACTCCTCTGCTGAGCTCTAGGAGATGGTGGGGTCCTGCTGGGAGCGAGTATAGTCATGAGAAGCAGCGTAGGGCAAGCAGTCCTACTGATCTTGGATTTGACTCCAATATATGGACTCCCACCTACAGCCCACTCACCAAAGAGACTTGTTACATTATCTTCTCCCCCATTTGGATTGGCAGGACCTCATGGGTCCAGCATCATTTAGCAGCAGGAGGCGCCTTTACATGATGAACCCATCTTTTTACTTGTCTTTGAATCTTAATTCTGATCTTGCGTCTTCACAACGTTTCTTTTTAACACCACCTCAACTTTTTTTTTTTTTTTTTTTTTTTTTTTTTAGAGTGGGAATAAGGTTTCAATCACCACTACCCCATTTGAAAACACATCAATCAAAACGGGACCAGCCAGGAGAAACAGTTACAAGGGCCGGATGGTGAGACGAAGCAAGAAGTCCAAGAAGAAGGAAAGTCTAGAAAGGTAAATTGGGTCGGCCGTCTTTGAAAGGTTGTGTTGAGTAAAATATATTCCTTCTCAAATATGTCTGAGAAAGATAAGTTTCACCACGTATGAGAAATGCTATGCCACAGTTCACAGGAGACATTCAAGTTCAATGGCATTGCATGTATAGCAGACAGGAGTTATTGATCTCACTGTATATCGATTGCTGTTAATTGTTTAGCATGTATGGGCACCATGAAAAGTCCTTTGCTGGCTTAAATTTTAGTTTTAGTGTGTGTGTGTGTGTGTGTGTGTGTGTGTGTGTGTGTGTGTGTCTATGTGTACGTCCACACATGGCACAGTGCATCAGAGATCAGAGGATAGCTTTGGGAGCTAGTTCTCTCTTTCAACCTTAGGCTCAGGGGACTGACCTCAGGTGGTCACACTCCCATGGAAAATACCTTTACCTGCTGAGCCATCTCAGCAGCTCCTCTGTATTTTGTTCCTCTTTGTGGTATTGTTGCTGTTATATTTGTTTAAGCCTTTAGACATCGTATCAGGAGAGTTGGATTTGACACACTTAGCCATCAGGAAATTTTCCACATGAAATCTGCATTTAAAATAAAATGTCCACTGTGTGATTAAGGAAGTCTTTTTTTTTTTCTTGTCTGTTTTTTAATATATCGAAAAAAAAAACATATTTAAGCCTTTCAAATAAGCCTGGAATTAAAAGGCCCTGGGGGACTGAAGTCTAGTGAGGTGATACACATTGGCAGACGGGGAAGCACCGAAAGTTCTATGTACAGACTAAAGCATGTGTGAGCCTGGCTCTGGGAAAGCGTGTTTCTTTCCAGTCTAGGCATGGCTCCTTTGAGCTACCATCGTCAGGATCCTTTGTTCACTGGAGCCTGAGTCTCTTCATTCTGAGTTTGGAGAGAAATATAAAAGAAGTGATCTAATAAAAATCCTTTATTAACTCCCAAGCAAGAAAACATATAGAGCCCATTTGAGGAAGAGATCCCTGCAGGAGCCACTTAAGTACTCAGACTGGTGGGGGTCAGGCAGAGTGTGGTATTAGAAGGTAGAGGTGATTTTATGTGTTTAATTCTAATTTTATGGTGATGTTGAGGTTCTTTTATTTGGTTTAAGTACTGGGCATTGTGCCTGGGCCTCCTGCACATAAGCAAGTACTCTACCACCGAGCAATGTCTTTGGTCTTCCTTTTACTTTTTGCTATTGTTTTGGTTTGAGATGGAGTCCCGGTTTCCCAGGGTGGGCTTAAATTCTCCCGGTAGCTTTGTTAAAATTAATTTTGTAGCATCAACAAGCCTTAAACTTGAGATCCTCCAGCCTCAATGTGCCAGGATTACAGACCTGCACTTCCTGACTCAGTTTCTCATTTTTCATGGTTGGATAACAACAGATAAGCCCCAGGCCTGAAAAATCTAAGATAACCACATACACATATGAGTTATAGAGGGTTATGTACACTGCAGAAGCGGAAGTAGAATCGGGTACGGGAATAGAAGGCAGTCATTCTGCAGACTGAGAAGAAAGCAGAGCACTTCTTCAGGGCTTACAGAGCCATCTGGCTTCTTTCTATGTGTATGGGGTTCTGCCTGCAGGTATGTCGATGTAGCATATGCTTGTCTGGTTCCTACAGAGGCCAGAAGAAAGTGGCAGGTTCCCTGAAACTGAGGTTAGAGATGTAGCACCATGTAGTTGCTGGGAATCAAACCTGGGTCCTCAGAAAGAGCAGCCAATGAGTGCCCTTCACTGCGGAGCCATCTCTCCAGCTCCTTGTGTCATTTTGTCCTCAGTGTATCTGTTTCCCTTTTATACAAGTTCTTAGATCATTCTGGGTTTCTTGAAGGGACATTTTATATTTTCATGATTTCTTCAGGTTACCCAGGAAAGTGTTCAGTTTAGTTTGTGTTTAGTATTATGACAGCTATCTGTGTAAGCTTACCGGGACTGGCTTAGGCATCTGTGGTAAAAGTACTGAGTGCAGCTACAGCACTGATAAGCCTTGGGCACCCATGCTTTTTATTTTTATCATGAATTCTTTTAACATTGAGTGTGCATCTGTATCTGCTGCCCGCTGATACAATGGACTCGGCTTCACCTTGCTCTGTGCTTCCCATGTAAACACAGCATACATTGTGTGGGGCATATTTAAAAGTTTACAGTGGACGACAAGCACAGCAATCAGCCCTCTACAAATAAAAGCCTCTGCCCCACACCTGTTACCATAAAGTAAATCTATACCCAAGTCAGTAGTCATTGGGAGAAAAGTCTTATCTTTTGATTAAGTCACATCAATACATACAAGGCATAAATGTACTAAGAAGTAGAGTTTTAATATTTTATAACTTGCTTACTGTTTCTTGCTGTTTAGAATTAAGCCATTCTTCATGCGTTCTGTCAGCTTCCTAAGAAATTGTCTGTACAGAAGTGGCATGCTGCCATTTAGTAGGTCGGCTGTCTTGTCACCGGGTGACAGGGTGGCGCTGAAGACTTAGCTCTCATGAGGATTGTTTTAAGGAGGTTCTGAGCCATGTGCTCCTGTCTTCACTCAGGAGGAGATCTCTCTTCAAGAAGCTAGCCAAGCAGCCTTCTCCTTTACTCCACACCAGCCGAAGTTTCTCCTGCTTAAACCGATCCCTGTCATCTGGAGAGAGCCTCCCAGGTTCCCCAACTCACAGCTTGTCCCCACGATCTCCAACACCCAGCTATCGCTCTACCCCAGATTTCCCATCAGGTGAGTAGATCTTCTAGCCTAGACAGTCCTAGAAAGGAAGGTATGAACCGGGCAAGGCAGAAATCGGGAAGGAAAGCAGGCTGAATGGCACATGACAGACAGCACTCACAGAGAGGACACAATTGGGGATCATTCTATCCATCAGAATAGAGTGGGTTAAGAGGGCTGTGGGGAAACTTGTGTAAGAAGCCTTCCCTGAACTTCTGGGACCAGAAGTTGACCTTCCCCAGACCAGGATGGGATGGAAGTATAGGAAGAAATGGAAAGACATCTGGTTGCTCACGGACTCATGTTTTCCACCCACAGGTACAAATTCCTCCCAGAGCAGCTCCCCAAGTTCAAGTGCCCCGAATTCTCCAGCAGGTTCAGGGCACATCCGGCCTAGCACCCTCCATGGCCTGGCCCCTAAACTCAGTGGGCAGCGATACCGCTCCGGAAGACGGAAGTCAGCTGGCAGCATCCCACTCTCCCCGCTGGCCAGGACACCCTCTCCGACTCCACAACCTACCTCTCCTCAGCGTTCACCATCTCCACTGCTGGGACATTCACTGGGCAATGCCAAGATCACGCAGGCCTTTCCTAGCAAGATGCACTCTCCCCCGACAATTGTCAGACATATCGTGAGGCCAAAGAGTGCAGAGCCACCCCGCTCCCCACTGCTGAAACGGGTGCAGTCGGAGGAAAAGTTGTCACCCTCCTATGGCAGTGACAAGAAGCTCCTGTGCTCCCGCAAGCATAGCTTGGAGGTCACACAAGAGGAGGTGCAGAGGGAACAGTGTCAGCGGGAAGTCACACTGCAGAGCCTGGAGGAGAATGTTTGTGATGCACCATCCCTCAGTCGTGCCAGGCCGGTGGAACAAGGCTGTCTGAAACGCCCTGTATCCCGGAAACTGGGCAGACAAGAGTCTGTGGATGACCTGGACCGGGACAAGCTGAAGGCCAAGGTTGTAGTAAAGAAACCAGAGGAGAAATATGAATCCCACCAGAAACCTCACAACCTTGGTGGTGATTCAGAAAGTTATGCCCTCTTCAGGCTAGAGGAGAGAGAGAAAAAAGTATACCCCAAGGGGATGGAAAGGTCAGGTCATTTTGAAAACACATCAGCAGAGTCACCTTCTGTGAGCAGCCTGCTGAAGGACACTCTTCACAAGCAGGCCAGTGTGAGGGCCAGCGAGGGGGTAACCTCAGATGGGGCAGCTTGCAGCCTGGCACCAGGGGACCACAGCCAATCTCTAGGTGACTTTAAACGGGCCTCTGCTTCTGGCATCCTCCATGATAGTGTGTGCCCCATCTCTGACAGGCCTGCTCCTGTAAAGGTTGACTACTCGGAGAAGGTCTCTCAGGCCAAAGAGCTCCTTCGAAGTGAGAAACTAGACAGCAAGCTGGCCAATATTGATTACCTCAGAAAGAAAATGTCATTGGATGACAAAGATGACAGCCACTGTGCCATCCTGAAACCCAAGATAACATCTAGCACCCATGAATGCCTGCCAGGGAACCCCGGACGGCCCATGGCTGGGCAACAAGAGACCCTGCCAGCCTCTGAGAACCGGGCCTACATCAACAGTACCCACACATCTCAGATGAGTGGTGTTTCCTTTGTTCCTCTCAAAGCCTTAGCTGGCCGGGTAGAGAATGGAGGAGAAAAACCAGGCTTAGCTGCTCCTGAGTCCCCTGTCAGGAAGAGCCCCTCTGAGTATAAGCTAGAGGGCAGGTCAGTTTCATGCCTGAAGCCGATTGAGGGCACACTGGATATTGCTCTCCTGTCTGGACCTCATGCCTCCAAAACAGAGTTGCCTTCCCCAGAACCTGCACAGAGCCCCAGCCCAGGCATCAATGTGGGACTGTCGGTGCCACCAGCTCTTCCCGGTAGCAGTGGGAAAAAAGGAGACTCCACCAGCCTGAGAGAGCCTTCCTCAGCCAACTTAAAAGTGAATAAACCTTACCTGCTGGAGTCTCGGTTCCTACCCCCGAGCCGGGCTCTCCAGGACTCTCTTACAACTCCTGGGCCAGAACCAAAGTCAAAGCAAGAGAGGAAGGTCATTCATTCTTCTGCCAGGAGCACAGCATCTGTCACAGAGAGCAACCTCCAGCAGAAAGAGGGTGGTCCCACAACACACCAAGACCGCTCCACTGACACCAAGGTCCTCGCTGGCCCAGGGCAGACCCTACACAATGTGGACCTACCCAGGCTATGCACACGTGCCCCACTCCCACCAGAAGGGACATCCTCAAAGGAGAAGCCAGGTCTGAAGGAACCATCCGCAAAGGTGAAAAGTGAGTCATCTGCCATGAGGGATGATGGACACAGAGATCCTTGTGTGAAGCTGTGCCCTGCAGACACTGGTAAAGCCAGTGACAGTTCCAAACCCCTCCCTTCCGGGGGAAGAACCCACCCTGATTTCTACAAGCCCACCCAGACTTCGGAGAAAGCATGGGCATGCACAAAAGCAAACCACAAAGATAGCCAAGACGAGGTGAAGTCCCTGGCCAGGGAGGACTCAGCTTCACTTCTGTATGAAAAGGAGATAGGCCGGGCAAGAAAAGGCCCAGAACCCAAACCAGATGTTCCCAAACTGGAAGTTCCTGCTATCCGGTGCCCTCCTCAGCCGCCAGGAATTGAGGGTGAGAAGCGTGAAAAGCTCTCTGCTGCCGCCTCTTTGCAGAAACAGGCTTCCAAAGAGCCAGACAGGAAGGAACAGGCCCCGCAAAGGTCTGGAGGCAGTGGCCCCCAACAACCCTCATCCACCAAAGAGCTGTCTAACTCAGCAGCCTGGCAGCATGGTAGTTCTCCAAGTCACACTTTAAAGAAAGAGCTGGGGGCCAAAACTCCTGCTGCAGAACCAAGCACCAGCCTTCAGGACACTCCTCGATCTGCTACAGCCACCACCACTGCCATTGCCACTACTACTACCAGTGCCGGGCACAGTGACTGCAGTAGCCATAAGTCCCGGCCTGGCCCTGACCCCAGCCCTTCAAAGTCTAAGCATCAAGACAGGTCCCTCTCCTCACAGAAGCCAAGTGCTGGGTCTGCAAAAGGCAAAGAGCCTGTCACTCAACCCCTAGGTGGTTCCATCAGAGATGGCAAGGGTGGTGGCAAGGGCCCATTGGACATCTGTTCTGCTGTCCTGTCCACTCAGGGCAAAGCAAGTGATGTACTTGTGCAGGGAGAAGGGAGAGTCAGTATCATGCTCCACACTGAAGGGAGTCCTCTAGATGCCAAACTGCAAACCACCAATGGAGGGAGTCCCCCAGAGATGCAGGAGAAGCATCTACCCAGACAAGGACATCCAGGCCTCAGCGAAGCAGCAGACCAGAAGCTTGTCACTGCTGGTGAAAAGCAAAGCCTGTCTCCAAAGCATCCCAAACCATCCACTGTGAAAGATTACCCCAGTCTGTGTAGACAGACAGACAAAAGCCCAAGTCAGCAGGCTACCCCTGGGGACAGGAAGGCAGAAGGAAAGAAATGCACAGAAGCACTTTATGTTCCAGCTCCAGAGGGCTACAAGCTGGAGGCCAGCCCTTCCCTCCACCATGGTGAGTCTGGACTCAAAGGCCCAGAGAGGCCAGCCATGGGCATGGGGAAGGGCTTCTCTGAGTCCAAGGGGAAAGGGCCTGGTCCCCAGAAGCCACTGGCTGAAACAGGCAAGCCCAGCGGTATGAAACGGTCACCCTCTGCCACTGTTCAGAGCTCTCTGCGCTCAGCTGCTCCCCCAGAAAAGTCTCTGAGTTACTCAGCCAGCTTTCCTGAGGCCCAACCTGGAGTGCGAGAGGTCACCGCAGCCAGCAGCAGCCCCTCATCTGCCAAGGCTATAGGGGGGACCTCAGAATTTACAGCCCCCAGCAGCAGGGACCATAAGAAGCTTCAGTCTGGAGGAGATGGCCGAAACCAAATGATAAAGAGTGACTCTCTGCCCACCTTCCGCCTCTCCAACTCTGCCCTGGAGTCACATTTGCAGGATCCACTGGTGCCCAGCCCAGCAGGCCACCGAGACAGGGCACTGTCAGTAACTGCTGCCACAGGAGAACCCAAAGGGAGAGAGCTTACCCAGCCTCCCCCAGTCAGGAAACAGAATGTGGGCAGGGAGGTGACCAGAGCACCCCCAGCCCCAAGCGCAGATCGCTCCCTCCCTCTTTCCTCAGAGAAAGACTTCGTGGTTCGGCAGAGAAGGGGTAAGGAGACCTTGCGGAGCGGTCCTTACAAAAAAGCCTCCTAACCTGCAGCTCTGGTGACAGGGCTGTGAGATCCAGCCCAAGCGTAGCTGTGACTGGGTCTTTGTCACCTTACAAACCAGCACTGTATGGGAATGTCCTCCAAGCAGAGCCTGGAGGCTCACCGAGGATGAGGAGCGACAGAAAAAAAAAAAAGGGAACTTTCTTCCAGATGCCTTCCCAGTAGTCACCGGTAAAACTGTTGCCAGATAGTGTTTGTATAAAACCCGCCTTCCCAGCGGTGTGTGGGTGAGGAAGAGAATCTCTCTGTACATAACCTAGCAATGTGTTTGGTTCGGGATGTAGAGTGTGTACCTTGCCGCTGACCACTTTGGTGACCGAAGCTTTTCTAAACTGAACATACTTGTTTTTACCACTTAACCATAATGTAGTAATAAAGCAAAAGTGGTCAGACTTGGGGGGGTGTGAAAATAGAAACCCACCCGGAACTGCACGTGTACACATCCACCTGTGTTTTGATCTGTGGTTTGAGAATCGTTTCAAGGCTCCATTTGTAGAAGTAGAGTTAAAGATGAAAGGAAGCCCTAAATACAGTAGACGGTGAGGGTTTTTGTGTGTGTGTGTATATATTTAACCAGAATTTCTGATCGTACTGAATCTGGCTACCTGTATTTCTGAGCTGCTGCATTTGGACCCCTCCACTAGGAGTGGCCAGGACAGGGGGAGCTGGGCATCTATTTCACAGCTCTCATAGGGGACATTTTGACCCTCAGGTCCAAGTGGCCAAAAAGACAATTGTCCTTGTCTCTGGGTTATATGTCTGGTCTTCACCGGAAGGCACACAGGGACTATAAACACACTGCAGGTCAGCTTTCTTTCTTTCTTTCTTTCCCTCCTTTCCAAGCTCTTACCCTCAGGCCTTTATGCTGTGAGTCCAAGAAGCACATGTTTATGGCAGGTGCTGTACCAGCCCTGCCGTTGAGGAAACAGGAAAAAAATCACTGGCTGCACACAAATCTGCTAGCCCTTAGGTGGAGCGATATGCGTTAGGCATTGGAAGAGATTTTAAATTTGCTTTTGTCAAGGAAAAGGAGGGGGTGGATTTGGCATCATAGCATATATATTAAAGAATAATCAGGACATCAGATACATTTTAATACATAGCTGGGGCCTTATGTTGTAGATGAAGCTTGCTGTTTTTAGCAAGTTCCTGGGTTTCACATTCATCTCTGACGCATCAAGTAGCTCCGTACATTTCATAACACAATCTCTTTATTTGTATGCAAAAAAAAATTTACTGTATTAATAAAGAGCATCATTTTGTAACAAAGAGACTGGAGCTATTTGGTGCTTGAATGTGAGCATCGTTTTTACTTTTGCTAAGCCTTATTTAAATTTTGTATACCATGAAATATGTAGAACTTGTCAGATCATTTTAGCTCTGAGGGTTTTTCTGGGTTGTTTCTGTTGTTGTGATGGTCTTTGTTTTGTTTTTTGGTGGGGTTTTTTTTTTTGGTTTGGTTTGGTTCGGTTTGGTTCTGTTTTTTTAACGGCTTGTTTTGAATTGTAAGATGGCACTTGCTGACTAAGACACAATGCGGACACATTTTTTATAAGATGCTTGGGATCCATAACAAGACTTTGTTCTATAAGAGAAAAAAAAAATTACAAATGACTAATGAATCTAGCTCCAGACCCCTCAGGGGGTGTCCTGGTGTCTGTACACCATAGGATTGTTTATGTGAGCACAGCCCTGTGGATTGTAAATCACCTAGCGAGGTTGTAAGCACTCCAGAAACAAAGGCATCACATCACCAACTGCTTGGGTTGCCCTTGGTTGCAAAGCCAGTTGGTGATGGAAAAAGGAAAGGAAAAGGGAGTTTCCACTCCACCCCTGTCTCCCCACCCCCAGTTCCAGCCATCCCTCCATCACTACATTAAAAAACTGTAGAACAAACATATTTTTTTACAAGAACTCAAATGGGTCTCAAAAAAAAATAAAAAAAAAGATCTCCAAGCTCACAATGCATATCTGGTTGGCAGATCTAATCGCCCAATCATTCTCCACTCAGACATCAGGACAGGTCTGTAGTAGTTCATGGTTTACAGCCTTTGCTTTTTAACTGTCCGGTTTTCTTTAAAGCACAGCTAGCTGCTTGTTTACAAAGGATATTTTTTATCTATGTTTTGTACAGTGTATTATCATTTTGCCAAATTTGTTTTTGCATTTTGGGTAAGTAAAGGAGTACTTAAGGTTGCTTACATGTGATACCTGTTCGTTGTTGTGAACTCTCCCCCAACCAGCTGGTAGAATTTCTCCCGTGTCCTCTTTGGTCAGTCTCTGTGTGGTTGTAAGACGTGCCCCTTGGTAGTGCTCCCAGCCGTAGACTTACCAGCTTCAGTTTTTAGGATCTGTGCAATAAAGTGTTTGCAGTCTTATTTTCTCTGAGAAATACCCCCCATGAATGTCATAATTGTTGTATATTGAACAAATATTTATACTTATGCAGTTGCATAACATTGAATAAAAATTTAGCATGAAAGAAGACTGGTGTGTTTTTTCCGAGTATGTACAGATACACGCCATGTACACATGATCCCTTGGGTTCCCTAGGAATGCTTTTCAGTGAGCGGAATGGTGTGGGCCTCTTTTCTTTTTGCCCTACATGAATAGTTTGTTCCTCAAGGAAAATCTTCTAGCTTATTCCTCCTTATCACCCCCAGCCTTCCACAGAATATACCAACGTACCCACGGATACTCACCACCTTCCCAGCAAAGAGGTCTCATCTCCCATGCTCTTTAAGATCCCAGTCTAATGGTTACACCCTAGTTTCAGAAACCCCTTTCCCGGCTTCCTTCTTTACTGAACAAAGAAGCATTTGCACTTGATAGTTTTCAGACCCCTGTCACTCTTGATACCAGGGTGTGGCTTCCACATCCTGTTCTCGATGGTTTGAGGAGTGCAGTGTTCCATAAGTAAAAAAGACTGCTTCCCAGTATCTCTTATGTGGGACATCACCATGTCCCAGTACTAACCAGTATTGTCCCACTACTAACCAGTATCCCCCAACATGACTCCCTTTTAATTTAAAGAATCCCACTATTTTTCTTCTCACACATGTATACCCATGTGAACACACATACACAAAAATCCAAACACGCACTCCTGCTCCCTAATGTTCCTTCCCTCCCTCAAACCTGCCTGTGTTCCCCATCTTTCCCCACATCCTAACTTTCTACCAATAGGATCTCTCTCTGGTAAAACAAAACAAAGCAGCAATAACTAAAACAAAACATGTCTGATCAATTTCACAAATGCTGTCATTAACCCCCCTCCCCACACCCCACCTCCACTCTCCTGCCCTGAGCATCTTTAGTTAGTTTGTCATAGTCTCTCCCCAAAGTGACTCTAGAAGCTTCCTAAGTTTCTCTCTCTCTACTTTCTGCCCTCTACTGTTTCGCACAACGACCCTAGAGAGATTTTTACACATACACATACACAATACTGCTTTAAGTATTTGAAAGCCTCCCTTAAGCATTCTTTTTTAGTCTATCTTTTAGGGACATTTCCTATTGTTTTAAGAAAGTTTCAGGTTCCCAATACTTTATCGGAGGTTTCTTTAGTTCACATTTCTAGAGCTGAAAGCCCAGAATTGGCTGGTCCCGTTTGTTCAGCCTCTGGCCAGAGCTTCGTGGCAGCGGCTGTCAGAATGGTGGAAGCATTTGCACAGAGATCATATAACAAGCTGGGAGGCCAGGGAGACTCGGAAGCCGGGCTTGTTCTTTTCTATATAAAAAGCTACCCTTGTGAGAACAAACCAGAGCCCAAGACAACTAACTACTACCCCCTACTAGGGGTGGCATTTCCAGTGTCCTGTCTACTTTTTACTGGGCTTTAAAAGCTCAGTGCTGCCATCTTGTGGAAGGAGCTGCCAGCATTTCATCACTTTCAAAAGTAGCAGTGAATAAAGCCCCAACTAGTGAATATGCTTTGCCTAGGATTCCAGGATAGGCCTTTCCCAGGGGGCTATGGAATTCACTGCATTATCTTGGAATTTTCTGTTCCTATGTGGATCTTTCTGAGATCCAGGCTTCCTGTTTATCGGTCCACCTTTTTTCTGCAACCACAAACATAGGAAATAATATTTCCTGAGCTGAATTGAAGAAAAAATGTTAATAGTGCCTATCATTGTTGCAGCTACGTCATGGGAGTACCACATTATACACTAGATGCAAATCTTATTCAGACTGCATCGTTGAGTTACATGCTGTTTCACTGTAGCCGTTAGGAAACCATGACCCAGAAGACAGAGGTTAAGAGGCAGTCTAACCTTGACTTACAGGCCTATGAGTTGACCTTCTACAGTCTGACTGGGCATCACATGCCCTCTACCTCCAACCAGGTCTTTCTTCCACCTTCTCTTTTTGTAAATTATAATATGAAAGGGGTCAGAATCACAACATATTTTTTTTTGCTTGCATACCATAATTCCTGCTGAGAGGCATGGTTTTATACATGAAAATGATCACTTTACTGGACCTTGGTACCATGCTATGAAGAAAAAAAGCTGAGCCTCCCCATGAAGGAAAATCTCTAGAGAGTTTTAAGCACACACATTTCCAGAACCACTAGTTGCCACAGCAGTAGTTGTTACTCAGCCAGTCTCTAGTGAGCATATAACGCATTAGAAGAAGAAATGAAAGACCAGAGTTCCAAAGGTACTTACTCTGTTCCAGACTGAGCAAAATTAAAGAGCATTACAAGGCAGACTCTAGACTGCTGTGTTCCTGTGAGTCTAGTCACTGGGATGGAATTCCCTGTGTTATGTTTTAGCATCTACACAATACTGTTGGAGATTTTAAAAGATGCATTCATCTTTATGTATATAAGTTTGAGTGTACATACACATACACAACCCTTGTTTGTATGTCCAGTGTCCATGAAAGCCAGAGGAAGGGTATCAGATCCCCTGGAACCGGAGTTATAGACAGATGAGCTGCTATGTGGGTGCTGGGAAGTGAACCCAGGTCCTCTATCAAGAGCAGCAAGTGCTTTTATAACACTGAGCCGTCTCTGCAGCCCTCATTTTTTTAATTTTGTAAATAATTGAAGCAATCGAATTTATCTTACAAGATGAGGACTATATCCTTTCTTGAGCCCAAGGCATTGTTCTTAGTGAATCTCTAATGATGAGGCCATAGCTTTCAGAAATTATGAATTATCTTTTGGCATAGAAATGAGAACTAGGGAGAGAAAGACCTATGAGTATCATGCTTAGATAAATAAGAAAAATCACTTCCAAAACCAAAAACACTATTCTATTCATGAGAGGAGATCATATTGGCCCCCAACAGTCAAGCTCTTCTAAGCCAGCAGGCTGGCTTATTTCATCCCCAGCATGCATATGAGCCTCATGGGACTCTTTCATGTTCTGCCTCAGACTGCTGGGTAGGGTTAAAAATTCTGAAAAATCTAATAATCTCTTCAGTGAATCAAATGCTACTCACTATCTGTTTGACCATAGCAAGGAATTACCAGACTGGCATATCTATCTCCTCAAATGTTCTGAAATACAGTCAAGGAAGAGCAAAGACAGAACATTGTTTGAGTCACCTCCTCACTCCATGAGAAATCACCAATAGAGCATTAAGATATTTGCCATTTATTAATGAAAAAAACAAAATATATTACCCATACAACTGCTAGTGCAATTACCTAGAGTTTAAGGACCCTGCCCATTCAAAATGGATCCAACAATGCCTGTATCCCCTGACTTCAAAACCAGCTAGAGGCTGAGGTTCTCAGGTCCTACTTCTGCCCCACTAATTTTTCTACATTTAGCCCACTTGTTTCTCCATTAAAGTTTGAGACATTCTGTTAGCATTTCTTTCCAGACTTCCTAGAAGAAAGTTACTTTGGGTCTTTATCAAACATACAGATTCGAAACTGCATCTCAAAGCCATTGATGTAAAAAATCTCCAGGGAGGGGCTGGGTAGATGAATCAATGATTCAGCAGTTAAGAGCGCTGGCTGTTCTTTCAGAAGCTCTGATTCCCACCACACACATGGCGGCTCACAGCCATCTATAACTCCAGGCTTCGGGACCCGATGCCCTCTTTTGACTTCCAAAAGCACTGCCACAAGTGGTGCATAGACATACAGGCACATAAAACACCCACATACACTAAATGCAGTCTTTAAGGTGAGGTTTTCCTTGTGTTTTATTCTGCAAGAAGTCTGGAAAATGATTTGTAATCATTCAATAAGATTCCACCTAATCCTTCTGATTAGGGCTGGTCTAGAAGTATGCTGACCATGTGTTCAAACTTGGCTCCGGCCAGTGTGTGACACTACTGCTTTAGACCCTTAGGTAGGAGATGCTCATAACTATCAATAAGGAAGTAACTTAAATGTTTGCTTACCTACTTCACCTGCTTAGTGATGTCTGCCACCTGCCATCTAACTTGTGCCTCCACAGAACCCTTGGACTAGCCTATGGTTTTCCCATTTTCCAGGCAAGGAAACACCCCTACACATGCTGACAACCTTTCCAAACATCACCAAGTGGCATAGGATGCCAGGCTGCTCTCACCAAATTAAAACACAATTCTTCCTTTAACACAGAAAAAACACATAGAGTGCTAAATTACAACCTTTAGAATTGGTGGAAAATCACAAGGCAAAGGAAGATGATCGCTGTCTATAAAAGGACTCCTTTATTCTAATTAATCAGCAATTTCCCACCTAGCATTTTTGGTTCCCAACACAAATGCAACATGAAGAAATCTAGCTATATCAATTACAGACACATATGCCCTTCAGTGAAGGTCAAATGTTAGGAACTCAAATATTAGAAAATATTAGGATGGTGAAGTAATACTAGAAACTTATTTCCTACTAGTATGCTTAATTCATTCATCAAGACAATACATGTGTTCTATTCCTCTCTATTATAGTTAGTATTACACACACATCATACGTAAAAGCTAGATGTGAACAACACGTTGGAAAACCTACTTTCATTACTTTCTGCATATTTGGAAGCCAGTTGTCCTAAGTCAGGGTCATATTCTTGAGGATTCAGACACCCCAGACTCCTGACTAGAATCATTAGCCCCTATCCTTACACAGAAAATATGACAACATCTCAATGAATTCTGAAACCACAAATTACAAAAGACAGGGTCTTTCTCATATCTGCAGTTGAGAATAGACAGTTGATCTTGTTCAAAAGAGAATTTCTTATACCAATCACTTAAGTTTACTGGTATTTATTGAACAAAGAAAACTACAACTTGAGTCAGGCAGGATTTCTATTCCTGAAAGTGATCAGACAACAGTGGTAGAAAAAGAGAAGCAGAGAAAAGATCACTGGACACAAGTTAAATCACGTAGGCAATTAGTTACAGAGCAAGTTGTTTCCAGCTTAAGCAATCAGCTGTGTTCAGGGCCTTCTTTTACTAACCAAACTCGCCTACTATGATTGAACAGTAGTGTTTTGCTTCATTGGCTTCTGTTCTGTATCCAGGCTACATCCACAGTCT